GCAATAGAAAACAAATGGTTAAAGCACAACACTACATGCAGAAATAAATCATCAAAATACACAAATAAACATGCATTGAATTGGCACAACACAGGACCAGTTGATTTAGCTTTGGTAGTGAAAAAACGTTAATTACACCACATAACTTCAATGAAATTCATTGCATCTTTCACAACTTAAATGGAAACCGGGCCTTGTTTTTTTCTTTTTTTTTTCAATAATCCTGTCAGCAACGCCAAGATGTGGCAACCGAGGGGTTAACAGATCGGAGAAATAATAATAATAATAAAAGATTTTAGAGAGGTTGTAGCAACGCCACCCCAGACTTCCTGGGGAAATAATGTAGTGTAGATTGAAGGCACACAAGTAAGTGTATTGAAATACAAGGCAACCGGTTCCAGTTAATTCAGTTTTATTCAACAGATATTTAATTATCAATCAATTATTTTAAGACAGTTAAGGTGCTTTCACATTAAAAAGCGCTAATGTAGAAATAAAAGGTTTAAACGAGTAAATTGCCTGAAATGTCCGCCTGACAGGCAAAACCCAGGGCAAAGAGTGTGCGCACGGGTCCGCGTCTCTGCTCGCCGTCTGGAGGGACACACCAGTGCGCAGCGCGCGACCTGGACCAGACGGGGAGGAGCAGGCAAAGTGGGACACAAAAACAGGCAACAGTAAAACAGCACTTTAGGCAGACACAAAATCAGCAGTAGACAAAACAGCAGGAGCAAAAACAGCAGGAGGCAAAACAGCAGGAGGCAACGCATCAGTGCCACTGCAGACCTCTGAGGACACCGCTGAGGTGAGCAACTGCGCACGGTCCCGGCTTGAAAGGCCAAGGGATGGCGCATGGAGCAGGCTGCCTGATGGCACGGCCAGTCCTGCAGCGTGGCTGTAACACAGTGCACGGATGCGCGCACCAGAGTGGTGCAGAGCAGCGAGGAAATGCTGTATTTTGCAGTGATCAGACAGTGGCACTGGAGCTGGTGAACAGGCGGCCAACACAAGGGCCCGGAAGAGTGTGTGGGCAAAGAGGAGTACAGCTGAGATTTGGGAGCGCTTTTATTGCCCACCGGGCCAGCGCCACGGAGCGGCAGGTAAGAGCACACCAGCACAGGTCTCCAAAGCCCGTCTTACCACACATCCATTTTATTCCGCTTCATCCGTTGCCGGGTCGCGGGGGCAGCAGTCTAAGCAGAGACGCTCAGACTTCCCTATCCACACACACTTCCTCCAGCTCGTCCGGGGGGACCCCAAGGCGTTCCCAGGCCAGTTGAGAGGCATAGTCCCTCCAGCGTGTCCTTCCCCGGGGCCTCCTCCCGGTGGGACGTGCCCGGAACACCTCCCCAGGGAGGCGTTTGAGAGGCATCCGGAACAGATGCCCGAGCCACCTGAACTGGTTCCTCTCGACGTGAAGGAGCAGCGGCTCTACTCCGAGCTCCTCCCGTGTGACTGAGCTCCTCACCCTATCTATAAGGGAGCGCCCAGCCACTCTGCGGAGGAAGCTCATTTCGACCGCTTGTATCCGCAATCTCGTTCTTTCGGTCATTACCCAAAGCTCATGACCATAGGTGAGGGAGGGAACGAAGATTGACCGGTAAATCGAGAGCTTTGCCTTTCGGCTCAGCTCCCTCTTCACCACAACGGTCCGATACAGCGACCTGTCAATCTCGCGCTCCATCCTTCCCTCACTTGTGAACAAGACCCCGAGGTACTTTAACTACTTCACATGAGGAAGGACTGCTCCACCCACCCGGAGAGGGCAAGGCACCTTTTTCCGGTCGAGCACCATTTGGAGGTGCTGATTCTCAGACAGTGAACAGAACCGGTGACAAAGGGCAGCCTTGGCGGAGGCCAACATGCACCGGGAACAGGTCTGACTTACTGCCGGCAATGCAAACACAGCTCTGACTCTGGTCATGCAGGGACTGGACAGCCCTCAGCAGAGAACCCCCCAAAGGACATCCCGGGGAACACGGTCGAACGCCTTCTCCAAATCCACAAAGCACATGTGGACAGGTTGGGCGAACTCTCCTCTATACTCTCCATAGGACCCTCGAGGATCCGATGGAGAGTACAGAGCTGGTCCAGTGTTCCACGACCGGGACGAAAACCACACTGCTCCTCCTGAATCCGAGATTCGACCATTGGCCGTAATCTCCTCTTCAGTACCTTGGAGTAGACCTTATCGGGGAGGCTTAGGAGTGTGATCTCACGATAATGGGAACATACCCTCCGATCCCACTTCTTGTAGAGAGGGACCACCACCCCGGTCTGCCACTCCATTGGTACCACGCGATGTTGGAGACGTGTCAGCCAAGACAGTCCGACAACATCCAGAGACTTTAGATAGTCAGGACGGATCTCATCCACTCCCGGCGCCTTGCCACCATGGAGGCTGCATGAAATGCAACAGATTTTGTGAATGCTTACGTGAGAGAAGGTTTAGCCACCACCAGAGTATTTTTATAATTACCTCAGATTGAAGAGAGGGAGCGCTGACTGTCAGGTCTGATATATGATGAAAAGGCCGCAGAGGATCAGCACCCCAGCTGCTGTTGGGAAGAGTAAGGAAGGCCGAGCGAGGCCGCACGAGAGGCAGCGCCTATTCTGAATGAATGGCAGGTGTATTGAAGTGGAGAGAGATTACAGGCGACGAGGATGGATTCAAGTTGGGCTCAAAACCATTGAGCTGACATAATATTGTTTTCGGGGGTGAAAAGAGTGGGCCAGATGGATCTCTTCTCTTGGAGCAGTGGCGAGAATATTTTGACATGCATTTATATGGACAGGGGAGATTGGAGGAGCGAGCGATGACGATGTTATGTTTTAGAATATTTGAGGTGGAGACTGTAGTGATCAGGGTATGAGATCGGAAAAGAGTCAGGTCTCTGGAAGGATTAAAGACAGCGGAAGCCGAGGAAAATTCACTTATGCTGAGAAATACGAAGATTGCGAGGAGGAAAACGCTGGACAAAAGGGTAGCTAAATACATAGAATATTTCGAAGACTAACTTGGAGAATGGTCATGGTGATGGGTAGTCTACGGTCAGGGGAGCTCGGAAACAGAGTGGAAATGCCTTTAAGCAGGAGCTTAATAGATGGATTTAAAAGAAAAGAGGGAAGAGAAATTATGGCAACGGGCGTGGAATTGAATGCCAGAGAGTAGAGTAGGGTGCGTAGGAGGGTTTGAAGGCGAGGATATCGGAGCAGTGCACAATGAAAGCACAGATAGTATTGATAGAGAGGAATAACGGGAATGCTGTGGGAATAGCAGAATTTTGAGTAGACTGACCATGCAAAGCCGAAGGTTTTAAGGGTAGAGGGAGAGAGGCCCAATTTATGCAAGAAGCAGCTGAAGAGAGAAGGGGGCCGGGCGAAGTGATACGGGGGCTAATCCAGAGAGAGAAGCTCCAGGGACTCACGCACGGCACCGCGAGGGCAGAAGGGCAGAGTTACCGGAATTCCTGAAATTTAAAACGTGAGAGGGAGTCAGCAATAACATTTAGGTAACCAGGGACGTGGCATGCAGCGATGATAAAAAGTTATACGTCTCAGAATGGACATGATTTTGGGGGAGCAGGACGGGCCTTCATTTATTATTTCCACGACAGCTTGATTGTTGCAAAAAACAGATTATTTTCTTCCAGTCGTGGCCCCACAGAACACAAGCCACTGCTATGGGGAAGACTTTGAACTATGCTGAAGATTCCTCTATTGGGAATTCTTGAGGTCAAGGCCCGGCAAACCACTGACCTCGGAAAATCCCCCAAAACCCACAGGCGGGGTAGCGTCCGTGAAAAGTTAGAGATCATCGGAGGGGGAGATGATGTTGTAGAAAAAAGAAACGCAGTTTCAGTGGTCGAGCAGACGAGACCAGAAACCGAGGTCAGAGCGGCACCCGTCGGTAATGACGACGGGATCAGTCAGTGCGGCAACAGAGCTGGCGAGGTCAAGGAGCCTCGATATGAATGACCGGATGGAGGGATAATGCGCATTGCGAAGTTGAGGTGGCCTAGCAGAGAGCAGCTCACGCTTTGACAGCGACGCGGAGGACAACACGGGCCGAGAGATCTTGCACTGCAAAATAGAATCGCGCGTCCCACTTATCCCCGAACAGGTGCCAGTGCGAGGGGTGAATGGACATAATCTTAAAAGCATCCATAATGTCCGCTTTGGGCAGCCAGGCGCCACACCCAAAAGACTTAATGAGCCTAATGGCATGGTCCACCATGGCCACAAACTGCAATTGCGGCATGAATGAAGCCGTTGCTTGGATGGAGCTTCTGCGTGATATGAAGCTGATGTGGGCAGTGCCTGATTGCTGCAGGTGAGGAGCTGCGTGAGGCGCTGCAGCTGAGTGTGATTGACTGATTGCTGTTGCTGTGGGCAACAACAGGAGCAGGAGCGCTCCTGTTAGAGCTGGGTTCTTAGGTCTTCCACTCTGAATTTCCGCTTTAGCTTCATGTATGATGAACTTAAAATACATCTATTCAGAATCCTGTTGTCATAACCTTTTCTAAATCAAATTAAATATCAAGACATGTAAATTATGTATATCACTGTAACACTGTAAAAATGGCACAACATAATTTATTTATTTATTTCAATTGTGAACAAGACATTATATCACATATTACAGTAACAATCAAAATAATTGTAGTCCTGTCACACAAATGAAAAGGGGCAGAAAGAAGATAATAATCTTATGTTAACGGTAAAAGTACTAGAATTTCAAAAAGTAAAAGATACAAAAATAAATAAACTCTTAATGCAGATACAGGAAAAGTCACCAAGTTCGGAAGACCAAAAACAACAGAAACAAAAAGCCGTCAAATTGGTCCATTGAGACAGAGGCCAGGGCCGCACGGGGAGCCCAGGCCATAGTTTGGACCCGAAGTTGGAAAATAGAAGCAGTCGTGTGTTTTCTCCAAAGTTTTATTTTTTGTGATCAAACAGAATAACGTGAAACTCAAACCCTTTTATGAACAAACTAAACTTTACGCTTCTATCGCCTGGTCGTCCTGGGTTTTTGCTCGCTTCGCCGCAGGACAATCTTCACCTTTAACAAGAAAGTCACAAGTTTACGTAAAGAAACATAAAATAACAGTCCTTTTGAATACACTACAAACAACAGGCAAGTCCTAAGCAGCTCTGAAACAATAGTTGTTTTGGTTCATGGTTTTACACTGATGCAGACCAGAGCAGAGAGGATTCACGGTCCAAACCAAGCGTGAATCCACTGGAGGAATACTACTATTTTTCTTTTTTGAAAAACGTTAATAAAGCAATCAGCATTTCACTCTGGACCAGAGCACAGAAAATGATCCGAACTGAGCGGCTACTCCACCTCTGCTGCTGTGAACTAAAGTGTTGTTTCTATTTTTAGAAATACGAATTTATTTATTTTGTCTTTGTGGATGTGAACCTGAATTTCTCTTGCAGGGGATCAAAAAGTATCTATTTATCATGGAAACACAGCAGTTTCAGATGCGACATGGCGCCACTAGAGGGCAGTGTGCACGCGTGAATCATAAATACGGCTTCACGTTTCAACTTACTGTCTAGGTTTTAACACGAGGACTCCCAAAAATCTGGATCTGAAAGGAACTCTGAGTCATTTGCACTGCTCCATTCAAACCAATGGAAATATGGGGAATGCCCCCCAGAAATGCACGGTTTTTATTAAAGGTTTTTTTTATTTTCATCTAGTACTCACTTTTAATAACCGCCAAAAATGGTTAATATAGCTTGAAACTAAAACAAGCCTTTCAACAAACTGTAAACTTCTGTAAACAATGTGTTGCTTTAGTAATTAACACTTGCTCCACCGAAGAAGAGTCAGCTCAGATCCAGAACCAGTCCGGGACCAGGACCTCAAGCTCCCTGGCCTCTGGTAGAGAACCCTAGCCCAGAGAGGGATAACCGCCCACGGAGGGTGGTTGTCCCTCTCTCAGTAGTCGTATGTTATAATGTACTACAATACTAACCCTAAACAATGATAATATGTAATCAACAGGCCACCTTCCTGCAGCATTGGGATTTGAAGACTGTAGCAGACTTACCAGATGTGTCGACTGTAGATGTGCCGACTGTTGCTTCGTCTCGTCTAAACGTGCGGATGATTCCTCCAGCTGTTTTCCTGCTCTCTGAAAAAAAACATGAAGACGACATGAACAAGAGAAGAGACGATCTATGGCGTCCACAGCTCCTCTGGGCTCTTTCCCTCGGGCCAGTTCAAACAGCTCTTTGGCCCAGTTCTCAGGTCTCTGCTTCTTACAAGTCTATGCAGCTAAAATCTGGAACAGTCTTCCTGAAAATGTGAGACAGGCTCTTCTCTGACGAATCCAGGTTAGAACTGAGGGATTTCATCTTCATTCTTTTCAAATGTACAGTGATTATTTATGGTTTTAATGCCTTGTGCGGTTGCTTCTGTCGTGTTTTGTTCAGCACTTTGTTGCCTTGTGTATGAACAGTACCTGCGTGGAGCACCACTCTTCTGCAGTTTGTGGTCACAGCGTCTTTCCCATGTCGCTCCGTCAAACCGAAGAGCTGCGATCTGAACTCAACATCGGAAATTGTTGCCGTAAACAGGGATGGTCTGAGCAATGGTCTTGAATACAGGAGAAACACTGATACCAATACTGATGAGATGTTCCGAATTTGTACATTTTGTCATTGTGAGATCAACAAAGTCCTATCTTACATCTACAGGGTTCAATTATATCCAGATTCTTTGCCCCAAAGTGATAACGACACCAGTACGAACCCCCATATTAATATTATAGCTCAAGCAGACCACAATAAAAATAGTAAATTTGCAGTGTAGAACATGAATAATTTGACTACTTTTTTGATTACTCGCTGAGACAATACTTAACAAAAGAAGTAGTGTGGACTGACCGAGTTCTGACATCGCTTTTGTGTTAGCCTTAATACGGGCTAATCAGAGCTATCTCGAACAGGCCATTTGGACAGGAATGTGGAGACAAATGTATCCAAATTCAAGTTGATTGATTGATTGATTATAAACACCAGGATCACAGAGAGCACAAAACCATAGATTGTTAATCCCAAAATGGTGACTGTGACACAAACAGTTTCTGAGCTAGAGGAGTTTTTACATGTAAATCAACAGGAGACAGAGCAAGTTGGAGAAAAACTTCACCGTGAGCACTTCCCTATCGGGCTTCATTGAGCTAGCGGGTTAGCAATGCGCATCTGTATACCATGTATCTATAGTATCTTAGCTTTTGCTGATACTGATTTTGTAACATCCCAGATACAGACACATCAGCAGAAGGATCAGAGGATACAGGTTCATGACGTCGTACGGTCCTCGGATCTCCAACGCCTGAAACACAGTTTAACATGAGACTGCCTTTTAAATAAAGTAAAGTTTGTCTATTGTTTGAATAAAGTTTGTGTCTTTTGTTTAAATAAAAGAGCTGACCCTCTCTGCTCCACTGGACACCACCATGTTCTGAAAACACAGGAAAAAGAGTTTAGGGAAGAACCAGCCTCAAGCAGCCCAAAAAGCCCAATGTTAAAGTCACAGACCCCAACTTTAAAGTCACATAACTCAACTTTAAAGTCACAGACCCCAGCTTTTAAAATCACTACCTTCCCTTTGCAGATATCAGAGTGGAACATGGCGTTGGCCATAGTGTAGCGCCTCCTGGTGGAGTCTCTGATCCCAGCAGCGTACGACACCTCAAAGGCCACTCCTCGCTCCATCGCCTACAACACAGGATTAGAGCTAACACAGGCTACATGAGGATTAGAGCTAACACACAGGCTCAGTGCGTGGGAATCTGGAGCCAAATTTGGCAACAGAAGGCTCCTGATTGGTCAGTTGTGGCAAACATCCACCTTATAAAGACAATATCAACACCAGGATTGACGAGAGCACTAAACCACAGATTTTAAGCCCAAAATGGTGAGTGTGACACAAAAAATGAGTTGGAGCAAAACTACACCAGAACTTACGTATGGGACACCGAGTTTCTGTCCCTCTGTATACAGACTGTGGTTACTATGGTTACACACTGACCCCATGCACCGGCGCTCTCTTGTAGAAGAAGGGGAGTCTGTCGCTCACACTGAAGCAGATCAGGTCCACGTCATACGTCATACAGGCTGACTGCAAAATAAACAAAACACTGTACAGCAGAGTCCTCAACCATAACATTAGGCCTGGTCTCAGGTCTCTGTCCTGAAGTCCTCTCACAGTCCTGTAGGTTTAGGATTCTCACCAGAAACAGTTTGTCGGTGTTTGGTTGAACAGCCAGAAGATCAAAGTGTTTGTATTCAGGAGAACTGGCCCTCTGCAAAACATTAATGAACTAATGTAGGAGCTTTGGTACAAATGTTTGGATCTGGAACTATGGTCTTTGGTCACACTCACGTAGTGGCTGGGGTCAGACATCATGATGGTCAGTCTGTTCAGGATTCTGATTGGCCGAGAGCAACCCTTAAACACAAATTCATGCGTCAGAAAAGCACGGAGAAACCAGAAACAAGGAACGGAACCAACAGACAGAGAGAGAAACAGACGGAGAGAGAGAGAAACAGACGGAGAGAGAGAGACACAGACAGAGAGAGAAACAGACGGAGAGAGAGAGACACAGACAGAGAGAGAAACAGACGGAGAGAGAGAGACACAGACAGAGAGACAGACAGAGAGAGAGAGACACATGCAGAGACAGACGGACGTAGTGACAAACATACACACATGGGGAGTCTGACCTGGACCACGGGCAGCGGGTGGACCAGCTTTGCCACAGGAACAGGAATGGGCACCGGCTGTAAAATACCAAACAAACACAGATGTGTCCAGATGTTTTCTTCAAGGAATGAGGTGAGAACTTAAGAGACACCCTTTAATCACTAGACACTTTACTCACAGTTTTCTTCTTTGGGTTTGGCTCAAACACATAGTTGATGGCCACAGTAGAGTATCCCACTGAAACACAGCGTTTACAAGTTTAAATCAATCATGATAATAATACTGCTGTTCTAACAACAAACATAGACGTTCAAAAAAAACAATGGTGTATACAGCAGATTATATGGTTTATGTATAATGATCAACACCGAGTGGTAGAAATGTTTATATGAACCCTTATCCAGAGCTTCCAAAAGTGTGGTCTGGTTTAACAATGTAGATAGGTAAGGGGAGAGACAGCTGTACAATCTGAAGCAATTGGATCTTTATAGAAGTGAAAACAACAAACATGTGGAATTAACACTGTCCTGTTCACATCTGCTAACTGACATTTGGAAAAAATATGGCTCTAGGATAAGATATTTACAGAATCAAGAATAAGTGTGTTTGTCTTGTGTCATGATTTGGTAATAATATAAGGTGAACATGTAAAGTGGGCGTGTCCAATGAGCCCTGAGCAGATTAAAACTTAAAACAGTGGATCCTGCAGTAACATTAAAATAATACTTTCTTGACACGTTCCTGAGAGTAATCACCCAATAAATGGCATTCAATCATTTTAATTATATGTACCAGCAAGGATGTGTTGTTATTGAGACGAATTAACTACATTTTCACCATACCGAAGTTTACATATCGTAATAAACGGGACAGAACAGTAAGAATGTCAGAGTCTTCTTAGCTCAGCAGCCACGGTGTCAGTGTGATGCTAAACCCCGTGTGATGTTGGAGCGCTAGCATCACACGGCTCCTGGCTGACGTGTCTTGCCCGCCTGTGGAGCCCTGATAGCACTCACAGTGTGCCGCTGTATCCACCAGCTTCCGCAGCTCAGCTTTGTCTCCAGAGAAAGTCAAATTTAGGTCCATAAACTCCGCCATCGCAAAGCTAACAGGCTAACAGCGTGGAAACAGCATGGAGCAGTGAAACCAGTGTTGCCAACTCCTCAGTAAGGAAAGTAGCTATTGGCTGTCCCAAAAGTCGCTAGAAGTCGCTAAATGACGTCATCGCCTAATTTGCATAATTTGCCATTTGCAAATAACTGTAACGGACGCTGTAGGAGAGAGGAATAAGGTCGTGGGAGAGACAAAAGTGAGTAAAAACACCCTAAATATGTTTAGAACTACAAATGTACAAAAATAATTTCAACATTAACAACATTTAATGATTTTAATGCTTTGTCTAGATCCACATTACACACATCAGTTTTGTCCTGTATTGTTAAATGTTATAACAGCAAATGTAATCAAAAGATTGTTATGTAGGGTGAAATTGCTAGCTCTACAACCAACCCTCCTCCTTTATCCGGGCTTGGGACCGGCAAAGTGACCCAAAAGACACACTCTGGCAGAGTTACTTAGGTTTATTTTTGTAAGTTTTTTTTTTTTTTCATAGTTTGGCATAACAAATGATTTAATGTGACCCACTACTGAGAGAAAACAGAGTCACGGACAGAGCTGCCGCGGATGGAGTGGGGGGGTAGTGGGGGGTGGCGGTGGTAGGAGTGGCCGGGGAGCTTTGGATGTGTGGTGGTGGAGCTGAAGTTCAGTCTGCAGCAGCCTGAAAACTTCCTGTGCTTTTGAGTCTCCTCTCTCTCTCTCTGCTCCGCCCATAGACTGTAGCTGGGACTGCTGCGCAAGGCTACTGTGAGACTGGCCGCCTGTAGTGCTTTGGGACGGGGGAGGGGCTCACGTTGAGGACAGCAGAACAATACGTGCTTCACGAGTCTCCAAAACACCAGATAAGTCGCCAAAACACCAGATAAGTCGCCAATAACACCAGAAAAAGCCGCTAGATTTGTCGCTAGTCGCTTTTTTGAAAAAAAGTCGCTATAGGGGTCTGAAAAGTCGCTAAATCTAGCGACAAAGTCGCTAAGTTGGCAACACTGAGTGAAACATCACGGGAAATGGAGTCCAACACCAACGCAAGGGGACTACAGCGCGTCGCCATGGCAACACCACGGCTCTTTCGAGAAAGTCTACAAAACTGTACAAAGCAAGTAAACTATGCAAAGAAACAGTGTACTTTGTGTCCATATGGTTATGAACAATGGTTATGACTAATGTTATTTTATATTGAGCTACCTATCCCTAAATTCTCTGTTCTCGCGTTTGAGACATGTTTCAGCTTCACATTCATGTTCAGAAATTAGATACAAATATCTTGCAATACATGTGCTTTTACGACATGTACACACATTTATTTATCTTCTTAAAATGTTATTCTTATATTATGAGAAATCTGCTATCAGGAAACACAAGATGGCCGCCACAATTGCCACAGCAACAGAACTCTTCTCTCTAGAGCTGTTTTGGCTGTTACTTATAAACACCTTTCTTTCTTATATTTAACAGCAAAAATAATATTTGTTTTTATCAGCATAAAATAAATGTATAATTTTGTGAGAGTTATATACGGTCTATTCGTTTTTATAATAGTTCCATGTTGGTTTGTTGGGAGCGGAGACAGCCGTTTATTTTCCCCAACACAATATTACAATGTAATTTTTGTCACTGGTGGTGAGCAACAATTTTTTTTTTGTTCTTGCAATATATTTTTTCACTGCTTTAAACTTAAACTTTAGTAACTTTATTCTTGGTTTAAGGGTGCATTTATTCGGCTATGGTTAAGGCACACTGGACTGGGGACTTACGTTTGGGGGAAATGGTGAAAACAGAGGTCATAACAACACCAGCTGGAGGTAGAACAAACTGTACACTCATTTCATTGAAACAGAAGTTGTAATTAGGTTATAAAGGCACGAGTTTAGAACATAAACTGTAAATATTTCTACAGTTCGTCGTTTTAAGCTGACACACTGGGATAAACCAGTGTAGCTTTGTTCTGTGTTTAACTCCACATGATCCGTCTAGTCAACGTTTGGACTCTGTTCCATACCACTAAATGAAATAGTTTTGATTCACAGAAAGGTATTATGATGTAACTAGAGACCAGAGACCTGAGAGAGACCAGCGAGAGAGACCAGAGAAAGACCTGAGATAGAGCAGAGATAGACCACTGAGACCATGCTGAACCCAGTGCGGCTGCTGGTCTCTAGCCTGGCTCAGTCCACTCGCTGCTGCTCTGGATACGTGTTCAGAATGAGGTGAGTTCAGTGGGAAATCAGACATGTAAACTGGGAAACATCCAGTTCTGGGTCAGTCCTGGCTCAGACCTGACTCAGACCTGACTCAGACCTGACTCAGACCTGACTTAGACCTGACTTAGACCTGACTTAGACCTGACTTAGACCTGACTTAGAGCTGACTCAGACCTGACTTAGACCTGACTTAGACCTGACTTAGACCTGACTCAGACCTGACTTAGACCTGACTTAGACCTGACTTAGACCTGACTTAGACCTGACTTAGACCTGACTTAGAGCTGACTCAGACCTGACTTAGACCTGACTTAGACCTGACTTAGACCTGACTTAGACCTGACTTAGACCTGACTTAGACCTGACTTAGAGCTGGTTCACATCTGGTTTTTGTCCCCACAGGTTTCTAAACTCTTTGAAACAGGACGATGAGGCCTGCAAGGCGGCGCTCTCTCACTCGGACCTGATGCTGTTTCATTCTCTGAAGCCGCTGCTGAAGAAGAACAAAGATCGAAGCTTCAGTTCCGTCAGACTGCAGTACGACGGTAAACTGACCCAGACCTGGATCTGTGACAGAGAAACTAACTGAACTTAATCAGAGGCAGTGCTTTAGTTTCTTTCTGTTCAACAATCCTCAGTAGAATAACTTTAGGCCCAAAACACTCCCTTGTGGTTCCCCTACAGGTTGTCTATTAGAAGTGGACTGAACAAGTGAAGTCCATGGATGCTCCTCAGCTAGTTCACATTTATGTTTTTCTCCCTGTTCCAAAAATAGTCTTCCATCCACATGCTCCATCTGTGCCGTCTATGATCCTGGTGTTTATATTGGGATATTGTCTTTGTAAATCGGGCCAGTCGAACCAAAAGGATTGACCAATCAAGAGCCTTCTCTTCCAGTCAGAATTGGTCTTTCTGAGTAGAGTTAGCAGGTTTCCCCATCCACATGTACAATGTGAAAACACTTTTCCTGTAGAGCATCCACATCTGGAAATGTGCCCCGGGTCCTGTTGTGGTCTGTACTATAGAGACCACTGCTCCTGATAGAGGCAGGATGGGTCAAATGCAAACATTTCTCTACGGGCACAATAATCAGAATAATATATTAATGACCACACAGCAAGTTGGTGGAATTGGTATCCGGTACAGCAGGAATGCTCAGCTCATCTGTGCTACATACAAACTTTAACTTACGCCAGGAGCTCCTGATTGGCTCTTGGCATTTCGGCTGTTGCTACATTCCCTTAAGGCGACATAACGTGGAAGAGGACTCAGTCAGTCCACTCCTCACTCCTCCCTTTGCTGGCAGCAAAGGAAATTACACACAGAGAGCATTTTTATTAATATATATTTTTATTCATACTTGATGCAACTAATATATTATTGTAATCAAACAATATCAAACACTTTTGTTTTACAGACGTCAAGTCGCTGCTGCAGAAACTGGGCACTGACCTGTCACTCATCCAGGACTCTGTGCTGATTGGCTCCTCAGAGAGAGGCACCGCCCTCTTCTGTCTGGACCTGGGTACTGTGTGTTGTGACCATTTCAGTGATGTCAGTTTCAGTGATGTTTCAGTGGTGACATATGTGTGTTGGATTGACAGCTTCTGTGGACGCCGCCGCCATAGAGGAAGTTGGCGGGGCTAAGTTCGTGGACTTGAGGAAGTCGTTTTTCCTTCTATCGGACTCAGAGGCGCCTCTTGTGGCCAAGGTCAGACACAGCAGCATGAGACCGAGACCTCACCCCAAACAGAGACCAGTCGGGGACCAGACCGAGACCTCACCCCAGGCCGAGACCAGACCGGATTTCTTATTTGTGGTTGTGTGTTCAGGCTCAGGCTCTGCTGCGCTGGCATCTCACTCACACATTCTGCAGCTTCTCTGGAAAAAGCACAAAGAGAAACAGAGCAGGAAGTCACCGGATCACAGAGGGGTCAGAGGTCGTGCACTATCCACAGGTGAATACGCTGCTGCTGCTGCTTCTATTGCAACTACCACTACTATCACAACTGCTTCTTCTACACTCGTCTAACCCTTGTTTCAGATGTCGCCGGTGGTGATCGCCCTGGTGCATGATGGGAGTCGGTGTTTGTTGGGGCGCCAGATTTCATTTCCTGCCGGACTTTACAGCGCTCTTGCTGGATTCTGCGACATGGGTCTGTTGTTCGCACCGCTCTTTCCTTTGAACAAGTGTCTTTGTCAAAAACATATCGCTGGTCCCTCTCGCTCTCTGGTCCCTCTTGCTCTCTGGTCCCTCTTGCTCTCTGGTCCCTCTTGCTCTCTGGTCCCTCTCTCTGGTCTGAAGTCCCTCTGTGGGACAGTTACTGTATGTGCTGTGCTCCTCAGGGGAGACCGTGGAGGAGGCCGTTCGGCGGGAGGTGGCGGAGGAAGTGGGACTTGAGGTGTTGTCCATCACGTACAGCGGCTCACAGCATTGGCCCTTCCCCAACAGCTCCTTTATGATTGGCTGTTTCGCCTCTGTAAGCCCCGCCCACTCAGAGGTCAGTCCAAATCATAGGCTGTAAATATTAACGAATGTAGTCCCGCCTATCTCAGTTGTTAAAACTAATGTGCCACCACTTTTGCCTTCTGTGGGCCTTATTAAAAATGGCCGAAGAGCAAGAATATGTGAACAAATTCAATTGCGCATGTTACCCCTCACTAGCCCCATTCATTTAACGAGTGCCTACTGAAGTCCACAGAGACTAAACTTGACTGGTCCGAAAAAATATACAAAACGTAGCTTTGAGTCAAGAGCCGACTTTTGGACCATCCTGTAAAGACGTTTTAGATAAGAAAGAAGACTCCTCTTTCTGGGTCCACCCCCACAGGCCCGGGGTGGTATTGCAGCATGTCAGTGCACATGCTCATGGATCCGTCCCCCTGGTCCAATCACATCATTTAAAACCTTTGTGCTATCGTCAAGTGAAATTTACCCACCAGTGATTAAAATGACGCAAAAAAAATAAAGGTAATTTAGACTCTTTTAGACCCTAATTTATGATGTTTTTCTTCTACGTAATTTAGCCCAAGGGTAGCACAAGGCTTATGTCCTGTTGAACATGTACCAGAAGGAAAAACCAGAGTGAGCCAATCATTTTCAATATGTAGCCAATACAAAAGCTGTGTCTCTTTTTAAAAGTTTTAATTAAAGTAATTTGTTGTTGAAATGTTTCACTTTAATGTGTTTGTGTGTTTATGTGTTTGCGTCTCTCATGTGTGTATTTATGTGTGTGTAAATGTGTCTCACAGTTGTGTATCGATCACTCGGAGCTGGAGGATGCGCGATGGTTCGACTTGGCTCAGATCCAGACCGGGCTCCAAAGCAGCGCAACCAAAAAAGGACTTCCCGTGGTCACATGGTTCCCTCCCCCTCACGCCATTGCGCACAAGCTGATCCGAGAGTGGGTGGAGCTACAGACACAAGCCCCGCCTCCACACTAACGACCTTTCAGTTTTTAATGTTGGAGGAAATAAACGTCTTTGATGTTGGACAAGCTGCAGTTTTCAAGTTTCATATTGTAACTATTCCTTCATCAGTTTCCTCCTGTAAGAGTATGATGTCACACTCACATCACACCAAGTAGTTTTCTGTCTTTAAAACAGAAGTATTGCCCAAGTGTGTTTGCAGCTCCCTCTGGTGGCAGCACAGGTAGTTACAGGCAGAAAGCACATTTTGTTTCATCAAATATTTTCAACACAGGTTCTGTATATACAACACTGACCACAGGGGGCACTGCCGAGCTTCAAGAACAACACTGACCCACTTGGGTATAATGTTGGCTGAGCAAGAAGGTCCTTGTTTGAATCTAGGTCGGAACAGGGCCTTTTAGTTGAGTTTGCATAGGTTTCCTCCAGATGCTCCGGTTTCCCCTACCACTAAAAACATTAAGCAAGAGTTGTCCAGCTCTGGTCCTGACCAAGACCATCAATATCTGGAGACGGGGCCCCCTGTTACTACGGTGACCACTTCTCCTGGTAGAAGCCCGATCAGCAGTGAATGGGTCAAATGCAGGAGACACATATCCTACAGGACAAAAAGTATAACTTAACTTAACCAAGGGGGGGAACTGACCATAGGAGGCGCTGTGGAGCTGCTCTCGTCTTTATTCAGAACATATAAACACAGTATAATCAGTCTTTGAGGTCCGCGTCACTTCCGGTTGAAAAAGCCCATAATCGACGCCTGCTTTGTGGCTTTGGCGCTGGTTCCTTTCTTCTTCTCGTTCTGGGCTTTGGGTCCAGGTTTAGGTCCAGGTTTAGACCCGGGTTTAGGCCCAGGGTGCAGTAAGGCGCTGGGACCGGGTTTGGTCTGGACCTCCTCTTCCTCGCCCTCAGAGTACGACTCGCTCACATAACCTTTCTCTGTCACTGAAACACACAACACTGACCTTTAATACAGCTTAAGCTTTTAAAACTAGGATAAAAAAGGGTCTTTTTGATAAATGTTAACAAAGCATTCAGCACCTCACTTTAAACCAGAGCAGAGAAAATTGTTAGAACCCAGCGGCTCCATTTCTGCAGCTAGGACCTGAAGGGCTGTTGCATTTTATTATTGCAATTGTTGGCCATCTTTAGAATGATCTATTTATTTTAGGGCTGGGACTTGATTAAAAAAAACTAATCTAATTAATTAGAGGCTTTGTAATTAATTATTCTCGATTAATCGCATTTTAATCGCATATAAATATTTGTCTTGAGAACAGTGAAGTAATTTTTTTTCACATGGATTTTTAGTTTACCATTGCATAATGACTGAATACATAAACTTAAGCAACACATGTTCATTGTGGAGGATCAGACGGACTTCTTTCCATCAAATAACGTTTCTGCCATAGCCTCCACACACACTGTCCACAACATACACTTCTTAAGCCCAAAATCCACTGCACTCGAAGTGAGAACAAAAGCTTATAATACGTTTTTGATGCGTGCATTCGAACTAAAACAGGGGTGCTCACACTTTTTCAGCATGCGAGCTACTTATAAAATGATCAAGTCAAAATGATCTACCTATACTACAAAATAGCAAAACATATTTATTTCTAAATATATTGAGGATTCTTTATATCTACAATGTATGTTGATGCGTGCAAAAACGCATAAACGGATTTAAAAAAAAAAAATTATGTAATGCGATCTTCCAATACTACCTTTGCGATCAACTGGTAGATTGCGATTGACGTATTGAGCACCCCTGAACTAAAACATCAGCAATAGCAGCTCACACACCTGTGTCTCTGCCATAGCTGCTCCTCCTCCTCCTCACACACAGGAGTCGCTGCTCCTCCTCCTCCTCCTCACACACAGGAGTCGCTGCTCCTCCTCCTCACACACAGGAGTCGCTGCTCCTCCTCCTCCTCACACACAGGAGTCGCTGCTCCTCCTCCTCCTCACACACAGGAGTCGCTGCTCCTCCTCCTCCTCACACACAGGAGTCGCTGCTCCTCCTCCTCCTCACACACAGGAGTCGCTGCTCCTCCTCCTCCTCACACACAGGAGTCGCTGCTCCTCCTCCTCACACACAGGAGTCGCTGCTCCTCCTCCTCACACACAGGAGTCGCTGCTCCTCCTCCTCACACAGTGAGTCCATAGCTCCACACACAGCTTTCCCGTCTCTAACTCACTCACTCACTACTCAGACCGCTGAAGTTGGTCTGTGCTTGTTATAATGTACTTTTGAACAAGAAAAGTCACGGAGCTCAGTTGGTGCGCCAGTATAATCGGTCCGTCTGAAACATATCCTCCAGTGACGAACGTTCCGCGGGGGGAAAAACACATACGATTAAAATGCGTTAATTTTTTTAACGCACTAATTTTTGTGGCGTTAATTAATCATAATTAACGCATTAAAGTCCGGGCCCTAATCTATTTGTTTTGTTTGTATGAATGCCTGTGTTTCTGCTGCACTGGACACCTGCATTTCTCCTGCGAGGATCCATAAAGTATCTATCTTGTTTTAAAGCTGATGTACGCAACATTAAAGCTGTGGTATGTAACTTTCAGACCACAACAATGGGACTAGTTCCTGGATCTAACACGGTTCGCTTCTATCACTAGTTTTCACTTTCATGTATTTTTGTCACTTTCAGACAGTAAAGTGAAGAAGAGGTGGAATCAAGGCTTTTTTTAGTGGATTATTTATGGGCGAGTGTTTGTAAATGGTCGACACAAAGATGAACTCACCGATGGATCCGTCTTCATCCACAAACGTAGAGGATTTAAGGACTCGCCGTCTCTTCCTGGGCTTGGAGGACCTGGAGGAATCCTCCTGAGAACACACACATTACAATAATGAAGAGGAGCTTCATCTGTACCGACCTGGACCTGCTCTTATGTAACGTGATTTATTCTAATAACTGGATCATTATTGCTTGGGTCACACGACTCTTCCCAGCTCTCCTCTAAAAGCTTTTTTTAGGTAACTTTTTTATTGATAAAATTGTATTCTATTAATGTATACACTATTTTCTGCACACTTCAGAGAGACATAACATCTCTTTTTTATGTTTATCAATGATTTCCTGCTTTGATCAAAGGTTGTATTTGAAGATTGCCTGTTGTAATATTTACCATCAGCTGTTTCAGAGACGGCAAATATCACAATATGAACACCAAGATCTTTGAGAGCCCTAAACCACAGATTAATGAATCCCAAAATGGGGTTTAAATCTCTGTGTGTGCGTTATGTAAAGGAAATATAGTTTTAGCATATTTTTTTACTCATCTACAGTCTTGTTGACACAATGTGACACACACAGCGTGACAATCTGTTAATGAACTAGAGTTTACTTTACAATGGAAGTCAATAGAAGCCCGAGCAAGTTGGAGTCAAACTTCGCCCTGAGCACTTCCCTATGGGTTTCAATGAGCTAGAAAGTTAGCCTTGTCCACACCAGTGTTGTAAAACATATATAAACACATTATCACATAACTACAACCAGGGAAACTGCGCCCTCTGCAGGACAGTAGTGGGCTGCAGGAGAGTTGACCTGAACCTGAGATCCAATCTGTACCTTTGGTCTCTGCTCTGGATCTTCTCTGACAGGATCTGGAGACGCCTGCTCCTCTTCCTGGCGCTCCTCCTGCTGCTGCTCCTCCTCCTCCTGGTCCTTCTGCTCCTCCTGCTGTGGCGGAGGAGCAGCAGGAGGGGAGTCTGGCACCACTGCAGGAGAAAAACTCGTCAAGACACACACTTCTTTTTAAGATTTTCTGTTTAGCCCCAAAAGTCGCATCACGTTTCCTCCACATTCTTACAGTTCTGTAACTTGCGATGCAACACTGAATTTTCCCCACTGTGGGACGCAAGCATCTCTGAATATGTGTGTTATGTATAGGCAATATAGTTTAGCATATTTTTTGTTAGTAAATTCATTTTGGTGACACAGACACTGGTGAAACTACCTGCTGCTCCTTCGTCCTCGTCGCTGCTGTCCTGAGGCCTCCTGATCCTCCTCCTCCTCTTCTTCTTCACCTCCTTCACCTCCTCGTCGCTGTCGGACTCCTGCACACGCTTGCTTTTACTGTGGACAAACCCTCTGTTACCACGGCACCTTTTATCTCATCACTGGAGGCAAGGGTTTCTTTCACAGGATGGCAGGGGTTAAAACAGCTCTATCGGCTTCCCTTCAGTAAAGTCCAGGGTTAGGGTTGGAGTTAGTTAGTTTTTCACAGGGTGGCAGGGGTTTATTAGTTTGGTTGAGTTCGGAGAGGGTTAAGGGGGAGGGAGGAGCTCATCCCCTGCCACCCTGTGAAAAACTCTAGACCCAAACACGCAAGGTAAAAGGGGAGTAGACTATGCACGTGTCTGACCTGCGGGGGTCTCTCTCAGCCTGAGGGGGGCGCTGTTCTGTGGAGCTGCTCTCCTCCTTCACCTCCGGAACAGGCTTCTCTGCAAACACAAGGAGATGAGTCCACAAACCAGGACTGAAACAGGACTGAAGCAGGTCAAAAGTCAGTTTAAACCAGGACTAAAGCAGGTTCAAACCAGGACTGATGAGGACTAAAGCAGGTTTAAAGCAGGTCTAAAGCAGGACTGAATCAGGTCTAAAGCAGGTCTAAAGCAGGACTAAAGCAGGTCTAAAGCAGGACTGAATCAGGTCTAAAGCAGGTCTAATGCAGGTCTAAAGCAGGACTAAAGCAGGACTAAAGCAGGACTAAAGCAGGACTAAAGCAGGACTAAAGCAGGACTAAAGCAAGACTAAAGCAAGACTAAAGCAAGACTAAAGCAGGACTAAAGCAGGACTAAGGCAGGACGGAGGCAGGGCTAAAGCAGGACTAAAGAAGGTTTAGAGCAGGGCTAAAGCAGGTTTAGAGCAGGACCAAAGCAGGACCAAAGCAGGACTGAAGCTCGTTTCTGCCTTCACTCACTTGTCGATTTATTTCCAAAGAAGTTCAGTGCAGATTTGGACTTCGCAGCTTTAGGTTCAGACTGAAAACAGCAACAAAAGCAAACGTTAAAACAGCTCTTCCTTCTCCCTTCACTCAGTCATGTTGTGGTACCACTGGTTTCTCTGTGATCTCCGCTTTGGCCTCGGTCTTGGTCTCTGGTTTGGTCCCTGGTTTGGCCTCTGTCTTGGGCTCCGGCTTGGTCTCGGTCTTTGTCTCGGTCTTGGGCTTGGGCTTGCTGGCGAAGGCTCCCATGATTCCTTTGGGCTTGGGGCAGGCTTTGCTCTGTGGTTTCTGGATCTCTGTGGGAGGAGGGGGGGCAGGTCTGGTCTCGGTGGACTCGCTGAGACGTGCGTTGCTCATGGGCACAGCGGCAGGGCAGCGGATCGCACTGTATCTGAGAGAACACACAAAACAGTCATTAGGTTTGGCCTCGATCCAACGATATTCTCCAGGACTCTTCCAGGCTATAAAGCTGGGGTACGTAACTTTAGTCTCATAAATAACATGACCAACAGAAAAGGCCTTATCCATGCGTTATGAAAAATCAAACCACAACATACGTGAGCCATTGTTTGACTCTTTGGGATGTGAGCTGAGAGAAGCTGGTCCTCTCCCTTTTCTGTCTGAAAAAGTAAATCTAAAGACGTGACAGAGACAGAAACACATGACGTAAAAATTAGTGATGGAAGCAGCTGTTTTAGAGCCAGGAACTAGAAACATGGATTTATTAGAGTCCTATTGTTATGGCCTGAAAGATATGGCCAAACTTGCAGACGAAAACCAGACCTCTGAAGCCAAGCAGGGCAGGGCCTGGCCAGTGACACAGACTGGTTGTCTTGCTTCTGCCAGTGTGCCTCAGGGCAGATGTGGCTACATTAATAATTCATCACCACCGTGTTTGGAGTGAACGAATAATAATGTGAAACGTGTTAGAGTGTCCAGAAAAGCGCTATCTAAAACCAATGCATTATTATTATTGTTATTGTCATATGAACGGCAGCTTTAATGTTGTAAAATGATATAAAGTTCCATCCTCCAGATTTAGGCCCCGTCCCAATACTCGCACTTCCACCCTCGCGCCCCTCATTTGCGCGTTCCCGATAAAGGGTGCGTGTGCGTAGGGTGTCCCAATTCTCCAGGAAGGTCTTTGGCCCCGCCCCCTTTGCGCCCCTGATCCACACTTCGCCGTAGCCTGCATCTATGCGCACTCTGGCGAAGGATATTGCCCATAATTCTTTGCGGTACACACCAAAACGTCGGGAAAATGCATTTAAGTGTACGTTTTAAAATATGTATGCTGTATGTGTGTAAATAAGTTTTTCTATGTTACAGAAGCATAAACGTCTGATGAAGAATTACAGACATTGTATTTAAACAATTTAATAACTTTTTAAAGTAAGCTTTTATAAAACATTCAATTTAAACTTTACACTTAGTACAATAATCTAAGGATGTATAAAAACTGACCAGATAGTTAGTTACCCACATTTCACTTAAAATTATACAGCTATTTCAAATTACAAATAACTAATATACATGTATTTTAACGTGTGTGAAGCAATTCAATTTGTTTCCCAAAGGGTCAGACAAAATTACCTTTAATGTTTATGAGGTTTAGGTCTGAAAATGACCATCTCTTGACGAGTCGATGACATAACCTGCACTCAGTGTGCACTGTCCCAATTCCGCCTTTTTTGCACACTTGTAACCTGCGCACTCCAACCCTGGTGTGCACTTCCAACAAATGCTCACTTCGTAGAGGTGTGTAGGGTGCAGTGTGGGTATTGGGACGGGGCCTTACAGTTCGTTCACAAACACCAAAATGGCCGCTCTGACCTGTTGCAGTTGTGGCCGTGGGACTTGACGATGTCGTAGTCGACCGCAAACAAGGGGGCGCTGTCGCGGAGCAGGGCTTTGTGAACACTGTACACGTGAACACTGCCCACCACACTCAGCTTCGACTTTGCATCTGCAGCACAGCGCCACCAGCAGGTCAGAGGGGGAACAGCACATATACAAAACAAAGCATACATTTGTCCTCTTGCTGTAGCTTAGCACTCACACTTTGGAACAGTGAATAAAAACATGTTTCTCATTTTAACAATAAGAATATTTTATTTATATTGCACCTTATAATACCATGAAACCCCAAAGTGCTATAGATTGAAATGAAAAAACATCTAAGTTACAAAAACAAAAGGGATGCACCGAATCCAGATTTTTGGGGTTCGGCCAAATACCGAATCCACTGGTGAAGATTCTGCCGAATCTGAAACCGAATCTTACTCCATCCTCAGTCCATTAATGTTTCATACACAAATGTTTTAACAGCGGCAATGTTGTGACTGTGACTGGTGTGAGTCCTCACCACCACGAGATAAATTGACATGTAGCTCGACTAGAATCACCTTCTTTGGACTGAAAGTACTGCCAAACACTTTTTCTGCTCACGACTTCCATTTCCAGTAAGCGTAGGGTTCAGTTCGGTCTGGAAAAATTCAAAGGTTCGGCAGAAACCGAACCCCGTCAAAAAATCCAATATTCGGGCGAATCCAAATCCTGGATTCGGTGCATCCCTAAAACAATATCAAAAACATCTACAATAAAAAATTTCTGTAGAACTCCCTGTGACTTTGAGCGTTTGATTTTCACACAGGCTCAACTGCAGCAGCACGAGGCATTTCATTTACAGCACAATCAAACGCTCCATGTTTCTGCTGCAGCTGGTATCGCTGTCGTTTATACTGGCATCGACATGAACATATCACCCAGCCCTACTTTGGACCATACACTGATTATATATATTTGTATCTGGAGTCCCCCAAGGTTCAGGACTGGGTCCTACACAGTTTATATATATTTCATTTAAAAGAACACTAATGTATAATAATCTTTATGGAGGACAGCGCCCCCACAGGCAGACAGGAGAACAGCACTCACCTTCCAGCTGATCCTCGCGCACTACACACACTTTCTGACACTGCAACACACAAAAGACAGGCTCCATGAGGATGAGCGCTAACTCAAATGGGTATATGATCATTTTGCGATTATTTTAAAACTTGATAAAAAGCAAGTATTTTTCCACTTGATATTTTGGTCTGAAGGTCTATATGACCTGATATTGACAGTTGTATAATTGTATAAAACATGTGAACGCTGAGAACATCTACAGTACAGAGAACTTTATTCTCAATCTTTATTTTTTGTTTTTTAAAACAGCCCTGGTTCAAATCAAGTGTGTTGTGTGTGTGTGTAGCATGTGCAACTGTATTGTTAATATGTATAAAACAAACAAGAGATAAAAACAAAGATAATAAAGTTATAATACAGAAATTAGAATGGTAAGTTTTAACCTATAAGTAGATAGAGCAACAGACAAGGAATGAATTGCAGTTATATAACGAAATGGTACGGTAATAAATGCATCATGAGACTAACAAAAATAAAAAATAAAAAATATCCAACCGATAAACCCAGCCACACATGTAAATATAGACAGAAGTGTTAAATTAAGACTTGACAGTGGTGGCAAATGGTGGCGCCAAAAATATATGTAAATAAAATTTAAATTAAAAACTTTGACTTAATTCTAATAGGTAATGTGGATATTGTTGCTTTGATCAAGTGATAGTGTGACCAAAGTCAAGAGGGGAATATGGATCTTTTGACTAAACAGTTTGTGCAATGATGTTAAAACTGAGCAGGTCAATAAAAACAATCCAATACGAGTCACTTATCTCCGGGCGCCGCGGCAGACGCTGAAGGGAGCTTCTGTGTCTTGTCTGTGATCAAGTGCAATGTGCAATACTGCAATATCTGAATGTCACTTTTCTACATATTATCGTGCCCTAAATGTACAGCACAAATTTTACATATGTAGTGAGATAGAAAGGGATATAGGGCGACAGTGGCTCAGTTGGTAGAGCATTGGCCTTCGAGCCCGAAGATCGTGGGTTCGATCCCACCATGAGACCTTCACCACCGACTCCCACTAATGTCTGCTGTCGTTGTGTCCTTGGGCAAGACACTTAACCCACTTTGCCTATAAGGGGCGCAGATGTGAATGTTCGCTGCTTGCCTTGATGTGTATGTGTATATCATGTATATGTGTATGCATCACTGATATTTCCCCATTGTGGGACGAATAAAGGACCTTCTTATATTGATATTCAAGCATTTACAGCTAAGAAACATAGCAGCTACTATATTGTATATTTATTGCGGGACGAATGAAGGTTCCCTTATCTTTTCTTCTCTTTTTAAACCATGTGAAATCTCTGAAAACTCTGGTTGTGTCTTTTATCCCGAGAAGAATCATTAAAACATGTCTTCTGTGGAGTCACAATCACAGACCTCTGTGTCTTTGTCATTTTAGGGGCACTTTATTTATCCCTGACCCATCCTGATGCCACTAAGGCTTACGTCAGGAGCAGTGGTTGCCGTAGACGTTGATGCTCGGCTGAGTCAGGACCGGAACTGGAGGATTTGAACTCACAGAGAGACCTGCATCCTCAGTCTTCCCCGTCAGCAGATATGTGGCGTGAAGAGAATCTGAGCTGTGACTCCTCTTGTGCTCCAGGTAATGGAACAGCATCCTGTAAACAAGGAAATAACAAGTAAACAACATGTAAATAACAAGTAAATAAAATGTAAACAACAAGTAAATAACATGTAAACAACAAGTAAATAAAATGTAAACAACAAGTACATCAGTGTTTCCCACACATAGACTAATCTGTGGCGCACCGCCACAGATTAGAGACCGCCCGCCACAAATTGCGTTTCGTATTATTATATATATATTTTTTTTGTTACGCTATTTAAAACATGCATCGTCTAGTGCCGCCGCAGCGGTCAATTTGACAGCGGGGAGGGGGGTTTAAAATGTGGCGGCCCTTCGTAACTCTCACTCAAGCTACGCGTCTCTCCCACATACAGAGACCTACACACACACAGCCCCTCCCCTTCGTGCACACCGCGTGTCTCCGTCTCCATCAGCGATCATCGCTGTAAGCAGCTGTGTCTATTAATTTACCGCGGTAAAGTGGCCCGCATCTTTCAGCTCTATGAACATGCGGCCCGCATCGGGGAAAAGACGGTGCGCGTTTTGTTGAGAACTTACGGTAACAGCGGAACGTCCTTTCGGAGTCACCCATTTTTATCGAACAGAAAGCGCGCTGGGGTCAGGGAGACACGTTTTTGTGATTAAAACCTTATAGAGATGCCACCCGGCACACATAGCACCAGCCCCCTACGATTCCTCCTGCAGGTTGTGAGTCCTCAGGAGGATAGCCACTCTATTGTTTACATGTATAAAGTACACAATTTGGTCCGCTAGTGCAATTTTCAAGTATTGTAACTAGGGATGTAAATCGGCGACCGGTTAACCGGTGGTTGACCGTCACAGCGTTAACCGGTCAAAGCTGTCGGTTAAAAAAGAGAAAAAGGGGAGAGGGGAGTGTTAGATACTGAAATGACCACGGGATACCAGCGTGTTGTAGGCTTGGACTTTACTGCATAACAACAACGTTACATTCACTTCCTGTAGTGTCAAGGTACGTAGGCAGACAACATAACAGACTCAGACCATATAGAACGATGTCAGAGCAACCGATGTCAATACTCTACAACTCCTCCTTTTTCTAGATAACAAGTACAGTAAGCAGTATAACCTTTACCACTTAAAATAGAACTAAAGTGATACTAATGCAACAGCAGTTTACTTAAAGGGATAGTCTCTTGGGAGGTCTGTGAGTACGCATTGGATAACGTCTCTCAGGTGTAACCGCCGGGCTCGCCCCAGCTCTAGGGAGACCAATGCGTGGGGTCAGGGGCGGACCAGGGCTTGGCAGACACCCCATGTCGCTGTCGGAGCTTTGCAGGTTCCGGCTGTCTTGGCCTGCGGTGGAGCTAGGCAGGCTCATGGTCTCTGGAGTAGCGCTGGCAGTTGGCAGGCTCAGGTCCCCCTGAGCAGCGATGAATGAAGCAGCAGGATCCACCATCTCCGCTGCAGTGCGTACCTCTGACCCCCGTAGTTGATCAAGGTGGCGTCGCCAGATAGTGTCCGGAGCTACTTCTACGGTGTAGGACAAGGGCCCTTGCCTCTCTCTGATTATACCGGGAATCCACTTGTGTTCTCCACGGTAATCCCTGGCAAGCACAGTCTGTCCAATTTCCAGTTGACGCGTTTCTCTATTGTGAGTCCCTTTACCCTGCTTGATCTGACGATCCATTACCGTCCGTCGCAGGTTCGGCTTTAGCAGGTCCAGTCTTGAGCGCAGCCCCCGTCCCAGGAACAGTATGGCAGGGGTTCGGTTAGTAGTAGCATGAGTGGCGTTACGGTAGGCAAACAGGACGTTGGCTAACTTCTGCTGAAGAGAAATGGGTGCATCCGCAAAGGCTCGCAGACCTTGTTTTAGAGTTTGTACGAACCTCTCGGCGAGCCCATTAGTAGCCGGATGGTAGGGAGCTGATGTTATGTGGCGGATTCCATTCAGCTTCATAAACATCTGAAATTCACTAGCTGTGAATTGAGGACCATTGTCACTCACCAACTGTTCGGGGATACCAGTTCTAGCAAAGAGACCTCTCAACACGTCGATTGTGTTGGCTGTTGTCGTGGATTTCATGGCGAACACTTCTGGCCACTTTGAACATGCATCGACCACTACAAGGAATGTTTTATTCATGAATGGCCCGGCGAAATCAATGTGTATCCGTTGCCATGGCGATGTGGGCCATTCCCATGTATGGAGGGGTGCCACTGTCGGTTCGTTCTGTACACGCTGGCACCCAGGACAATGTGCTGCGAGCTGTTCTATCTGTTGGTCAATCCCTGGCCACCAGACATAGCTCCTGGCGAGTGCCTTCATCTTCACCACTCCCAGATGACCACTGTGTAACTCTTCCAGCACCCTGGACCTGACCTTGGTGGGTATGATGATCCTCATTCCCCACATAAGGCACCCAGAGTCAATAGCAAGCTCATCCCGGCGTTGGAAATATGGAGCGAGGAAAGACCTTTCACTAGCTGCCCAGCCTGTCTGCGTTGCTTTGTACACTTGTGAGAGAGTCGCATCTTTCCGGGTCTCTCTCTCAATCATCTCCGCTGTCACTGGGAGGCTTTCGATCTGCATGAGCGTGAACATCGCCACTGATTCTTTGTCTCCTTTTGTGCCTGTTGCGGTGTCGAGTGGCAACCGAGACAACCCGTCTGCATTGGCGTGATTTAGTGTGCTCTTGAATTCAATCTTGTACCGATGCCCTCCCAGGAACAGGGCCCAACGCTGCATGCGTGCCGCTGCGGTCATGGGGATAGCCTTATGGGGGTTGAATATTGAGACCAGTGGTTGATGATCGGTCACGAGGGTGAACTCCCTGCCGTATAAGTACTGGTTAAATCGTTTTACGCCCCAGACCAGGCCCAGTGCCTCCTTGTCTATTTGGGAGTAATTTTTCTCAGCCGAGGACAGGGAGCGGGAGGCAAACGCTATTGGTCTCTCAGTGCCGTCCCGCATGACATGTGACATAACGGCCCCTATACCATACGGTGACGCGTCGCATGCCAACTTCACAGGCAAGGACGGGTCGTAGTGTGTGAGCACTGTCTCTGATGTCACCAGCCTTTTCACTTCCTGGAAGGCCTGTTCGCATTCCTTGGTCCATTTCCATTTCCGTTCTGCCTGGAGTAGTTCGTTCAGAGGATGGAGCACTGTAGACAGGTTAGGCATGAACCGGTGGTAGTAGTTGATGAATCCAAGGAACGATCTCAGTTGCTGTACATCCTGTGGCTGAGGAGCCTTCATGACGGCATTGATCTTTTCTTTGCATTTATGCAAACCCTGTGCATCAATGGTGTGGCCGCAGTATGTGATACATGGTTTGAAAAACTCACACTTGTCACGTCTAGCCCGGAGTCCGTAATCTTGAAGTCTCTGTAAGACCTTATGGAGGTTCTCCAGGTGTTCGTTATCGTTGGCCCCAGTCACAATTATATCATCTAAGTAACACTGTGTACCTGGAATCCCCTGCAACACCTGATCCATAGCACGCTGCCAGATAGCCGGGGCTGAGGCCACTCCGAACACTAACCTGTTGTAGCGGTACAAGCCCTTCAGAGTATTGATGGTCAGGAACATCTTCGAGTCTTCCTCTATCTCCATCTGTAGATAGGCCTCCGCCAGGTCCACCTTGGTGAACCGCTTTCCACCAGCCAGGTTTGCAAAAATGTCCTCGATCCTGGGAAGTGGATATTGTTCTGCTTGTAGCACAGGATTGATTGTGATTTTGAAGTCCCCACACACCCTCACTGCCCCTGACTTCTTTGCTACTGGGACAATGGGTGTGGCCCATGGGCTCCAGTCAACTTTAGACAGGATTCCGTCGGCCTCTAGGCGGTCCAGCTCCGCTTCCACCTTCTGTCGTATGGCGTACGGAACTGGCCGTGCTTTGTGGAAACGTGGAATGGCCCCGTCTTGAAGAACAATTTTGCCCTTTATGTTTTTTAATGTCCCAATTCCATCTTGGAATACAGGCGTTGCAGCCACCAAGACTGTCTCCAATTTGACCTCTGTGGACTTGTCGGTGGTGTTTGGCGCCACCTGCAGGCTTTTAATGGACTTCCAATCCAGCTGTAATTTCCTCAGCCAGTCTCGGCCCCACAGTGCTGGTCCTCCTCTTTTTACAATGTACAAGTCCAATGTGCATTGTTGGCCATTGTGTTGTACCTCCACCGGCAATACGCCGAGGGGCTTGATTTTCTCTCCAGTATATGTCTTTAGGAGGACAGATGACGAGTTCAGCTTCTGGTCTCCAAAGTACTGCACAAAGTCACTGTGCGCCATCACTGACACTGCAGAGCCGGTATCCAGTTCCATCCTCACTTGTTTTCCATTCACCTGGGGTGTGAGCCAGATCGCTTCCCGGCCACCACCTTTAGCATGGTACACATCCAAGCAGTTTGTATGTTCACTTTCGTCCGATTCCTCACCTGCAGTTTCCTCTATATTGTACACTTTCTTGTTCTTGTGTACATTCCACTGCGTCTTCCTCTCACTTTTATTCACTCTTGACTTTCCTGAGCGACAAACTCTCTGAATGTGCCCTGTCTTGTTACATAGTCTGCAGATTTCATCCCTAAATCTACACTGTGAAGGGGAATGGAAGCCCCTCCCACACCTGTAACACGGTTCATGCTCTCTTTCTTGTGGGACTGTTGCCATTTTATTCACATTTATTGCCTTTACTCCTGTTTGCAGTTCAACGGCATCTCTGGCTGCCGTTTCCATTGAGACTGCGATTTCAACTGCCCTTTTGTAAGTGAGCTTATCCTCGGTAAGCAGTCTCTTCTGTATGGCCTCGTTCAGAATACCGCATACCAAGCGGTCTCTCAGCGCATCATCCAGTCCCTGTGCAAATTCACAGTGCTCAGTAAGTCTCTTCAGCTCAGCCACATAACTAACAATAGATTCTCCCTCATGTTGATTTCGCTTGTGGAATCTAAAACGCTCAGCAATTAGTAGCGGCTTTGGCGATAAATGTTCTTTCATCACTTTCACCAATTCATCAAAAGTCTTGTCTGATGGCTTATCTGGTGCAGTCAAGCTCCGCAACAGGCCGTATGATCTTCCCCCCATTGCACTCAGCAACACTGCAACATGTTTCTCCGCTGCTATGTCATTTGCCACAAAATACTGGGAAACGCGTTCAGTATACTCGACCCAGTCATCCGTTGTGCTGTCAAACGGGTCTATCGATCCAACTCTCGCCATCTTGTCACGCTGTGTATGCACACTCTCTTCCGAGTCACTACTGTCTGTTTCAATATGCTGCTCCTGTGAGACAGTAGAATCGCTCATCGCCGAGACATGGGTCCACTGTACAACCACCTCGTCGCCACTGTTAGATACTGAAATGACCACGGGATACCAGCGTGTTGTAGGCTTGGACTTTACTGCATAACAACAACGTTACATTCACTTCCTGTAGTGTCAAGGTACGTAGGCAGACAACATAACAGACTCAGACCATATAGAACGATGTCAGAGCAACCGATGTCAATACTCTACAGGGAGGTCTCTTAATAACGCTATTTTAAGCCCTATTTGCACAGTGTGACGAGCGCATACCCATGTATTATAAACTCCGGGACGACTCTCACGCCGCACGAGCCACATATGCACACACGCACGCGCGCGCACACACACACACACACACTTTCCCCCTCTCCATACGTAACATCCACACGCATCATCTCTCCCCTCTGTTACCGTCAAAGTTGCACACTGGCGCGGGTCAGAACTACATTGGAGCTTACATTTACACACACATACATACACACACACACACACACACACACACAGGTCTGTCGCGCTCCTCTGTGTCACGGAGCCCAAAGGATTCGCGCAAATACGCGGCTTCAGTCAAACCACATGGAACATGTTTGTGTTTATGGTCCTCGGGATCAGCTCCGCACACATCACTTGTATTTAAACTTTTGTGAAGACCTGTGAGACGCGGCTCGTCACTCGCTGCTCTGACCATGTGAACGAGCCGTGTTTGCTGCTAGAAAGTTTTGGTATTAACCCGCAGCACAGCAGAATGGGAAGATTAAAAAAGCAGTTCTCTGTGCGCAAAGGTGCCGGAGCTGTTGCGGGTTTGGGCGCCGCTGTCTCAACTCTGATCCAGTAGAACGCAGAGCTGCACTTATGAAAAGTACGCGGCTCGAAATGGCTGTTATTTCAAAGAACGTGGACTATTTTAAACTACGCGGTTAACCGGTTTCAACCGGTTAATGAGGCTCGGTGGTCGGTCATGAAAATTCATAGTTTTTTACATCCCTAATTGTAACTATTTACTGGAATAAGGTGTGCGACTAATTTCACTTGACTCATGACCTTATTATTGCCCTCTGCCACTGTACCAAAGACCAGAAACTTTTACTGTAGAAATATTGAGAAATAACGAGGTAAAGTAGCCATTTTGGTCCAAAATACCTCCAAAATAGTCAAAACATGTCACTTTTGATCTACTGTAACTTTTTACTGTAAAAAGGTGTGCGACTAATTTCACTGGATTCATGACGTCATGATTGTCCTCTACCACTGTACCAAAGACCAGACACTTTTACTGTAGAAATATTGAGAAATATTGATTTAAAGTAGCCATTTTGGTCCAAAATAGCCTAAAAATGGTCAAAACATGTCACATTTGATCTACTGTAACTTTTCACTGTAAAAAGGTGTGCAACTGATTTCACTGGATTCATGACCTCAACATTGCCTTCTACCACTGTACCAAAGACCAGACACTTTTACTGTAGAAATATTGAGAAATATTGAGGTAAAGTAGCCATTTTGGTCCAAAATACCTCCAAAATAGTCAAAACATGTCACTTTTGATCTACTGTAACTTTTTACTGTAAAAAGGTGTGCGACTAATTTCACTGGATTCACGACCTCATGATTGCCCTCTACCACTGTACCAAAGACCAGAAACTTTTACTGTAGAAATATTGATTTAAAGCAGCCATTTTGGTCCAAAATAGCCTAAAAATTGTCAAAACATGTCACTTTTGATCTGCTGTAACTTATTACTGTAAAAAGGTGTGCAACTAATTTCACTGGATTCATGACCTCAAGATTGTCCTCTACCACTGTACCCCCCCCCCCCCCCCCCCCCCCGCCGACGACCACCACACATTGCCTTCAAACCTGTGGGAAACACTGTACATGTAAACAAATTGTTGTTGTTTTACCGTTTGGCCGTGTTGACGTGTACGCCCAGGGTCAGACTCAGCCATTTGTATGTCACCTGTGAAAACAGCAGAACTCATTAAACCAGGACTAATCCAAGACTGAAGCAGGTCTGAAGCAGGTGTGAACCAGGTCTGAACCAGGACTGAACCAGGATTGAACAGGTCTGAACCAGGACTGCAGAAAGGTGGAGAAATCATCACAAACTCAAAGATTCTACATCACTTTTATCGCTGCTCCATTGAAAGTTTGTTTATTTGTGAATGTGTAAACATCACAGTCAAAGAAAGATCTGAGAGCTGCCTGTTCCGGAGGTTCTTTATGAATCCAGACTTAAATCCAGCACTTGGTCCCTTGAAGAGATATATTACAGCTTCTTTCCTCTGCCAGAAGTTATCGTTTGTTGAGATGCAGGAAATCTCGATACGCAACAGCTTCTTTGAGCTGTGATCAGCAGGTCTAAAGCAGGTCTAAAGCAGGTCTAAAGCAGGTCTAAAGCAGGTCTACAGCAGGTCGCAGGATAAACAGGACCTATTAAAAGCTCAGACTCACGATCTTGTCCTGGTCGTACACGTATTCGTCGATGTTGTCCAGATAGAGAGTGTCCATCACGGAGCACAGCTGCAGAACAGTATAAATGTATATTTATAATATAAACAGTTAATCTGAAATCATATCTTTTTGGGGAAATGTCTCGCGCTTCGCTGCAGCGCGGGAAACAGGAGCTTTGTTTACTTCCTCACTCATGTCACGTGTCTTCCGCTATTAACTTATTATTAATTTGAGTATTTTTTTTATTTTTTATTTCCCTGCTATGGTTAGGTTTCACGTTTTTATTCCTAATGGATTTAGATTTTAATTGTTCTCATTCATGTACGTTAGTTCACGCTCCTATGACGTCACGGCGCAGCCCGGGTGAACGCGGAAGAGAAGCTGCAGTTTATTTACGCAGAGAAAACCTTTTTAACGATACTCCGCATTTACACTGCTTTTGTGCCGCGTTGAAGTCTACATCCAGCCCGGGAGTAGTGAGCCCGGCTGTGGAGCTCCAGAGCCCGGGCTGAGGAGCTCTGGAGGCCCGGCTGAGGTGAGGCTTCAGCGGGGGACCAGGGCGGAGGACAGCGCTGCAGTGGTGTGTATCTGTGCTGCAGGAGACAGGGTGACTCCTGAAGATGCAATTAATAACCTGAGGCTAAAACCGTGCTAATATTACGTGCTTATATCAGACAGACTGTGGGACGAATACAGGTTATTATAGTCAGTATATATTATTATATTATTTATTATAGGAACTCATATCTTATATTAACTATATCATATGTTGTGATGGAACATATAGCTGTTTGTTGATTACAGACAAACATGTTTCAGATTGAAATCAAAAAGGGGAAAAGGTTGGAGCCCTGAATGTTATCAGCAGAACAAGGGTCATACAGCGTCTCCAAACCTGCTCAGGCCATGAATATAAGAAAATTAAAGCAGGTCTAAAGCAGGTCTAAAACAGGTCTAAAGAAGAACTAAATCAAGACTAAAGCAAGACTAAAGCAGGTCTAAGTCAGGTCTAAAACAGGTCTAAAACAGGTCAAAGTCCGGTTAAAGTCCGGTCTAAATCTGGTCTCCTCATAATAGCTCATAATCCTGTCCTGTTACAGTAGAACATGGACGTCTGCATCATACCAATGTACTCTGAGTGAACACTTTCACAAACTCTTTGGCCTTTGTGGTGCACTAAAAAATATAGAATTGTGCAAATATACTTATAAAACAATTATAATAAAGCATTGTCTAAAAATATGGACAGAATAGACATGTCATACACTGCAGGTTGTCAGGTTACAAAGCGACCTGACGATAGTGAAATACATGTATGTCGATCTAATAATATATCTGTGAGGTTATGTCACTGACGAACCTTCAGATCCTATTTATTTATTCTTTTTTTATTGGCATACACAATATATTACAACCTGGGCATTCAAACACATTTGTACATACAAATGCTCATGAACCCACATATTTATTGGTTATTTGTTTGATACAAACGCAGTGCATATTGTAACGCATTAACATTTCACATGCAAATATGCCAGAATAAGCTAGAGAGGTATTTTTAATCTTCAATAACAATAAACAAGATAATCACTTTAGTTACAATATAGTGAAAAAGATGAGTGCTTCAGTGGGTCATTTTTTGTAAGGTTGTAAGTACCAAGTAAATTACAGTATTATATGTGTACAAGTAAAAGTAAAAATGATTGACAATACATAATTATCACACACACACCAGCCAACAGGGAGGGTCTTAATATGGAAACTTCCCATTACCAGAGATCCAAATCCCCCACAGTTCAGAAGAAGAATATCCTTGCTTTGAAAGAACTGCAGCCCTGCTCTCTCCCCTCTGGTCTTTGGAGCTGAACTGAACAAAGAACATAGACTGACCGAGTGTGGTGTCACAATAATGTTACCCAAATGCGGAATTGAACTTACACTAGCTGGTGCCAATTTCCCATTCTGGGCATTTGTTCCGACGGCGTTAGCTTTGCGTCGTAACCTCCAATCCTTATGGCTCATATCTGGATTTACAAAGACAATATCACAATATAAACACCACGATAGCAGAGAACGCTAAACCATGGAGTGTGACACAGACGGTTACTGAGCTAGAGGAGTTCACCTTTCAATGCAAGTCAAAAAGTACTTCCCTATTGGGCTTCATTGAGCTAGCAAGTTAGCATTAAGCTAGCAGATTAGCATTGTCAATCTTTATACAGAGATGCACTTCACACTTCCACCACCAGAGGGAGTGTTGCTCATTTTCATCATCTCTTATTCCAGTAAACACATAAGGGACAAACTAACTTAAACTGATTATGTCACTTCCTGTTCTGACTCCATTGCTCTGATTGGCTGCAGGAGGAGCGCCCTCTAGCGAGAGCATGAGCGCAGAGCCGGATGCGGTCACCGCGGTGACTGAGCCGGACCCGGTCGCCGTCGTGACGCAGCTACGGGACCTGGCCTCGGACCCTCTGAACCGTAGGGCCATTGTCCAGGACCAGGGATGTGTCCCGGGACTTGTCCTGTTTTTAGACCATCCAAACCCTCAAGTGGTCTACGCTGCCCTGCTGGTGAGAAGACTGAGAGACCGGGACTGAGAGACCGGGACTGAGAGACCGGGACTGAGAGACCGGGACTGAGAGACCGGGACTGAGAGACCGGGACTGAGAGACCGGGACTGAGAGACCGGGACTGAGAGACCGGGACTGAGAGACCGGGACTGAGAGACCGGGACTGAGAGACTCTTGGTGTAACTATGTGTCTCAGGCATTTTGGCACAGATGTAAATCCCTGTTCTGTTGCAGGCGATCCGATATCTGTGCGAGTGCTGCGCCAACAGAGGGAAGCTCAGAGGAGAACTGGGCATGATGGTCAGTCTGAAAGACGTGGCCCACAAGTGAGACACACACACACACACACACACACACGCACACGCACACGCACACGCACACACACAGGCACACTCACTCCTCTCCCTCCTCAGGTCGACCACTCCTGGAGAGACCAAACTTCTGGCCGCCGAGGTCTACGAGCTGCTGCAGTCCGCGGTTTCCGAGGCCGAGGCCGAAGACCGGAACCGAGACCAGACCAGCAGCCGCAAGAAACACCGCTTCTTCCTGGGAGCGAGCAACAAACGAGCCAAAACTGTGGTGTTGCAGATAGAGGGACTGGACGACCCGGTGAGACCTGCTTTAGTCCTTCTTTAGTCTTGCTTTAGACCTGCTTTAGACCTGCTTTAGACCTGCTTTAGACCTGCTTTAGACCTGCTTTAGACATGCTTTAGAAATTCAGTTGTTTTTTTTTTTTTTTTGCCCTAAATCACAACAGCAGTTCTCTTTGAAGGACTTTACAAAGTTGTCGATTTGCCAGCAGAGATCAGAGACTCAAACCGTTCAAACAAAGGAAATAAAATGGTTTAAAAACGTTCTTGCGGCTTTAACTGTGTGTGCTCCTCAGAGTCTGCATGGTCTCTGTGAAGAGGTTCAGGCCCTCATCTCTGCTTGCGGCTCTAACTGTGTGTGCTCCTCAGAGTCTGCGTGGTCTCTGTGAGGAGGTTCTCCTGAGGATCAGAGGAGTCATCAGCTTCACGTTCCAGATGTCACAGAAACGCTGCATCGTCCGGATCCGGTCGGACCTGAAGGCCGAGGTGAGAGCTCGCCTTTCCATAGAGCTGACCTATGAGAGAGCTCGCCTTTCCATAGAGCTGACCTGTGAGAGAGCTCGCCTTTCCATAGAGCTGACCTATGAGAGAGCTCGCCTTTCCATAGAGCTGACCTGTGAGAGAGGAGTTGGAAAGATAAAAACACACAATAATTATAATAATGCATAATCAGTGTTTGGACACTTAAAGTCTCTAAACATGTCATTATTCATTCACTCCATACCCTATGGTGATAAACTGTTACTCTAGCCACAGCTGCCCTGGGGCACACTGACAGAAGCGAGGCAACCAGTGTCATTCTACTATGCCTGAAGTGTCTTGCCTTGTTTGGCACTTTCACAGCCGCCCCACTGTGGCACCTGGTGTTTCCAGAGGTCTCCCATCACAGTCCTAACCAGGCCCTGCCCTGCTTAGCTTCAGATGTCTGATGGGATCTAGCTTTTGCATGCAAGTCACAAAAACTTGCATATTTGACATCTGGATAAAATGTAATAAATCATCCTTTAATATCAGTCAAACTTATATAATATTCTCTTCAAATAGCACCTGTAGAAATAAAGACCTCTGCTGTCGTCAGTCCAACAACACGATCATAGAAAATTAGCAACATTTTGGATCGAAATCAAAAAACACATTGATGGAGTCACTTTGAAATGATCAAAATATCGAGGCTTGTATAAAATCAGACTCTCTCTCTGCCACATCTAAATTACTGTAACATGTAACGTGTGTTCAAGTTACTTGAAAGAAAAAATATGAGGTAGTAATTGCTTTAATCCAGTGGTTTTTTATCTTAATCTGACACATTCTGACTAAGGTTAAAACAAGATTCTCCAATGGGACCATCAATCTTTCCCTCAAGCCATTACTTTCAGCAAAAAACGAAATGGCACGTTTTGAGTTTGCGAAAAGGCATGTGGGAGACTCCCAAAATGTATGGAGGAAGGTGCTCTGGTCTGATGAGACTAAAATTGAACTTTTCGGCCATCAAGGAAAACGCCATGTCTGGCGCAAACCTAACACATCACAGCACCCAAAGAACACCATCCCCACAGTGAAACATGGGGGTGGTAGCATCATGCTGTGGGGATGTTTTTCAGCAGCCAGGACTGGGAAACTGGTCAGAGTTGAGGGAAAGATGGATGGTGCTAAATACAGGGATATTCTTGAGCAAAACCTGTACCACTCTGTGCGTGATTTGAGGCTAGGACGGAGGTTCACCTTCCAGCAGGACAATGACCCCAAACACACTGCTAAAGCAACACTTCAGTGGTTTAAAGGGAAACATGTAAATGTTTTAGAATGGCCTAGTCAAAGCCCAGATCTCAATCCAATAGAAAATCTGTGGTCAGACTTAAAGATTGCTGTTCACAAGCGCAAACCATCCAATTGAAGGAGCTGGAGCTGTTTTTCAAGGAGGAATGGGCAAACATCCCAGTGGTAAGATGTGGCAAGCTCATAGAGACTTATCCAAAGCTGTGATTGCCGCAAAAGGTGACTCTACAAAGTATTGACTTTAGGGTGTGAATAGTTATGCACATTGACCTTTTTTGTTATTTTGTCCTATTTGTTGTTTGCTTCACAATAAAAAAAAGACAACATCTTCAAAGTTGTGCGCATGTTCTGTAAATTAACTGTTGCAAATCCTCAAACAATCCATGTTAATTCCACGTTGTGACGCAACAAAACACACAAAATGCCAAGAGGGAGAATATTATTGCAAGGCACTGTAATTTAATAAAATTAAAATCCAGAGTGACCAAAAGCACAAAAATCCAGAACTGAAAAACTAGACATGCAGGACAAACGTGGTCGAGACAATGGACGGACAACAAGTGGGTAAAAGCACAGGGTATAAATACACACAGGAGACACAGGTGGATCCCATTAGGGCGGGGCTAACAATCAACAGGACAGACAGGAATCAAACTCAAAATACAAGAGAACAAAGTAAATATAACCAGGATAAAATAATCCAAAAAGTCCACACCATGACATAGATAGATTTATTTATTTGGTTCGGACAGTACATGTTCATGAACACATCACTCCGGATTGTAGCCATTGGCTCATTTCCATCCGTTGTCCCACATTCACACTCTCAAACACACACTCATTCACACTGAACTATTGTACATGTTTTTAGTGGTAGGGGAAACCAGAGTACCCGGAGGAAACTTACGCAGACACGGGGAGAACATGCAAACATGGATTCGAAACCCAACGGGGATTCGTATCCAGAACCTTCTTGCTGAGAAGCGAGAGTGCTCTCCACTCAGCCACTGTGCCGCCCAGATACATCAATAGATACTTACTTTATTGAGCCCCGTAGGAGAAACTGAGATGTCCGGCAGCAGCAAAAACAGATCCATCCAAACAAACAAAACCAATAAATACACAATTCTAAAAAGCTAACAGTAGTAATGAAATGCAGCAGCACTTTGGGTCACAGCAGCAGAGGTGGAGTAGTCGCTTGGTTTGGACCATTTTTTCTGCTCTGGTCCAGAGTAAAATGCTGAAAGCTTTATTAGCATTTTTCCAAACATTAGCATTCCTCCAGTGGATTTATGCTTGAATCCTCTCTGCTCCGGTCTGGATCCGTGTAAAACCGTGAACTCTGTACTGTTGTCATATTTGCAGTTAGAAAAAAGCAAGAAAAATGACAATGTAAAAGACTAAACAACAACTGTTTCAGAGCGACTTGTGGCTTTCTGCAGTTTCCAGTATAATCAAAAGTATCACGTCTAAACATCTGGAATGAACTGGACACTTCAATTACATTTGGAAATGACTGAAAACATTCAAACAACTCTTGAAACACAATTTATTCCATTATTAAATAACACCATGAGCCCTAAGGCTGAGAACCAAAAACAGTCGAGCAATCTTTACATTAATGACATGTTACTGCCGTGAACCAACTCTGACTCTGAGCAGCACAGGGACTGGCCTCCTCTCAGAGTCAGAGCTAAACATGGGGAGGTAGCATTTCAGATGCATGCAGCTAGAATCTGGAACATCCATCCGTCTTCTTCCGCTTAATCCATTTCTGGGTCAGAAGGGGTGGCAGTCAGAGCTGCACCCAACTCACAAGTGGTGAGTCCACAGGAGGATGGCAGCTCTGTCTGGGAAAGCATATTGATCTTTCAGCGGGGTAGAATCTGGAACAGTCTCCCTGAAAATGTGAGACAGGCTTCTTATTTGATCATTTTCAAATCCAGTTTGAAAACAGTTCTGTTTAGCTGCAACAACTGAGGGAATTATCTTCACTCTTTTTCATGTTCTGTATGAATTGTGCTATACAAATAAACTTGCCAGTCTGAGATGTATTATTGTTCTTGTTCTGTGCACAAGAATGGTGTCATTTATTATGCAGCATGTGTGTAATGGATACATGTGTCACCAGTTACATGAGACTGAGGCTGTGTGGATGGGTAAATGTTTAGGATTGTCTTGGTCTAGAATCTGATGCACTTCCCTTTTTAAAAAACTATGTGTTTGAAGTTTTTGTAAATAAAGAGAATAAAAGGTCCTCCTGATGTGTTCCAGGCTCTGGCGTCTGCGATCGCCTCCACACAAGTGATGAAGGCTCAACAGGTGGTGAAAGGAGACCACGGAGAGGAGGTACGGCTCCTGCTGACTCCTGCTGACTCCTGCTGACTCCTGCTGACGCCTGCTGACTCCTGCTGACTCCTGCTGACGCCTGCTGACTCCTGCTGACGCCTGCTGACTCCTGCTGACTCCTGCTGACTCCTGCTGACTCCTGCTGACTCCTGCTGACTCCTGCTGACGCCTGCTGACGCCTGCTGACGCCTGCTGACGCCTGCTGACGCCTGCTGACGCCTGCTGACGCCTGCTGACTCCTGCTGACTCCTGCTGACTCCTGCTGACGCCTGCTGACTCCTGCTGACGCCTGCTGACGCCTGCTGACTCCTGCTGACGCCTGCTGACTCCTGCTGACTCCTGCTGACTCCTGCTGACGCCTGCTGACGCCTGCTGACGCCTGCTGACGCCTGCTGACGCCTGCTGACGCCTGCTGACGCCTGCTGACGCCTGCTGACGCCTGCTGACGCCTGCTGACGCCTGCTGACTCCTGCTGACTCCTGCTGACTCCTGCTGACGCCTGCTGACTCCTGCTGACGCCTGCTGACTCCTGCTGACTCCTGCTGACTCCTGCTGACGCCTGCTGACGCCTGCTGACTCCCGCTGACTCCCGCTGACGCCCGCTGACGCCCGCTGACGCCCGCTGACTCCCGCTGACTCCCGCTGACGCCCGCTGACGCCCGCTGACTCCCGCTGACGCCCGCTGACGCCCGCTGACGCCCGCTGACGCCCGCTGACGCCCGCTGACGCCCGCTGACTCCCGCTGACTCCTGCTGACTCCTGCTGACGCCTGCTGACTCCTGCTGACGCCTGCTGACTCCTGCTGACGCCTGCTGACTCCTGCTGACTCCTGCTGACTCCTGCTGACGCCTGCTGACGCCTGCTGACGCCTGCTGACGCCTGCTGACGCCCGCTGACTCCCGCTGACGCCCGCTGACGCCCGCTGACGCCCGCTGACGCCCGCTGACGCCCGCTGACGCCCGCTGACGCCCGCTGACGCCCGCTGACGCCCGCTGACGCCCGCTGACGCCCGCTGACTCCCGCTGACTCCCGCTGACTCCCGCTGACGCCTGCTGACTCCTGCTGACGCCTGCTGACTCCTGCTGACGCCTGCTGACTCCTGCTGACTCCTGCTGACTCCTGCTGACGCCTGCTGACGCCTGCTGACGCCTGCTGACGCCTGCTGACGCCTGCTGACTCCTGCTGACTCCTGCTGACTCCTGCTGACTCCTGCTGACGCCTGCTGACTCCTGCTGACGCCTGCTGACTCCTGCTGACTCCTGCTGACTCCTGCTGACGCCTGCTGACGCCAGCTGACGCCTGCTGACGCCCGCTGACGCCCGCTGACGCCCGCTGACTCCCGCTGACTCCCGCTGACTCCCGCTGACGCCCGCTGACGCCCGCTGACGCCCGCTGACGCCCGCTGACGCCCGCTGACGCCCGCTGACGCCCGCTGACGCCCGCTGCGCCTGCTGACGCCTGCTGACGCCTGCTGACGCCTGCTGACTCCTGCTGACTCCTGCTGACTCCTGCTGACGCCTGCTGACTCCTGCTGACGCCTGCTGACTCCTGCTGACGCCTGCTGACTCCTGCTGACTCCTGCTGACTCCTGCTGACGCCTGCTGACTCCTGCTGACTCCTGCTGACGCCTGCTGACTCCTGCTGACGCCTGCTGACTCCTGCTGACTCCTGCTGACTCCTGCTGACTCCTGCTGACGCCTGCTGACGCCTGCTGACGCCTGCTGACGCCTGCTGACGCCTGCTGACGCCTGCTGACTCCTGCTGACTCCTGCTGACTCCTGCTGACGCCTGCTGACTCCTGCTGACGCCTGCTGACGCCTGCTGACTCCTGCTGACGCCTGCTGACTCCTGCTGACTCCTGCTGACTCCTGCTGACGCCTGCTGACGCCTGCTGACGCCTGCTGACGCCTGCTGACGCCTGCTGACTCCTGCTGACTCCTGCTGACTCCTGCTGACGCCTGCTGACTCCTGCTGACGCCTGCTGACTCCTGCTGACTCCTGCTGACTCCTGCTGACGCCTGCTGACGCCTGCTGACGCCTGCTGACGCCTGCTGACGCCTGCTGACGCCTGCTGACGCCCGCTGACTCCCGCTGACTCCCGCTGACGCCCGCTGACGCCCGCTGACTCCCGCTGACTCCCGCTGACGCCCGCTGACGCCCGCTGACGCCCGCTGACTCCCGCTGACGCCCGCTGACGCCCGCTGACGCCCGCTGACGCCCGCTGACGCCCGCTGACGCCCGCTGACTCCCGCTGACTCCTGCTGACTCCTGCTGACTCCTGCTGACGCCTGCTGACTCCTGCTGACGCCTGCTGACTCCTGCTGACTCCTGCTGACTCCTGCTGACTCCTGCTGACGCCTGCTGACGCCTGCTGACGCCCGCTGACTCCCGCTGATGCCCGCTGACGCCCGCTGACGCCCGCTGACGCCCGCTGACGCCCGCTGACGCCCGCTGACGCCCGCTGACGCCCGCTGACTCCCGCTGACTCCCGCTGACTCCCGCTGACTCCCCTGACTCCCGCTGACTCCCGCTGACGCCCGCTGACGCCCGCTGACGCCCGCTGACGCCCGCTGACGCCTGCTGACGCCCGCTGACTCCCGCTGACTCCCGCTGACGCCCGCTGACGCCCGCTGACGCCCGCTGACGCCCGCTGACGCCCGCTGACGCCCGCTGACGCCCGCTGACGCCCGCTGACGCCCGCTGACGCCCGCTGACTCCCGCTGACTCCCGCTGACGCCCGCTGACGCCCGCTGACGCCCGCTGACGCCCGCTGACGCCTGCTGACTCCTGCTGACTCCTGCTGACTCCTGCTGACGCCTGCTGACGCCTGCTGACGCCTGCTGACGCCTGCTGACGCCTGCTGACTCCTGCTGACTCCTGCTGACTCCTGCTGACGCCTGCTGACTCCTGCTGACGCCTGCTGACGCCTGCTGACTCCTGCTGACGCCTGCTGACTCCTGCTGACTCCTGCTGACGCCTGCTGACGCCTGCTGACGCCTGCTGACGCCTGCTGACGCCTGCTGACGCCTGCTGACGCCTGCTGACTCCTGCTGACTCCTGCTGACTCCTGCTGACGCCTGCTGACTCCTGCTGACGCCTGCTGACTCCTGCTGACTCCTGCTGACTCCTGCTGACGCCTGCTGACGCCTGCTGACGCCCGCTGACGCCCGCTGACGCCCGCTGACTCCCGCTGACTCCCGCTGACGCCCGCTGACGCCCGCTGACGCCCGCTGACGCCAGCTGACGCCCGCTGACGCCCGCTGACGCCCGCTGACGCCCGCTGACGCCCGCTGACTCCCGCTGACTCCCGCTGACTCCCGCTGACGCCCGCTGACTCCTGCTGACGCCTGCTGACGCCTGCTGACGCCTGCTGACGCCTGCTGACGCCTGCTGACTCCTGCTGACGCCTGCTGACTCCTGCTGACTCCTGCTGACGCCTGCTGACGCCTGCTGACGCCTGCTGACGCCTGCTGACGCCTGCTGACGCCTGCTGACTCCTGCTGACTCCTGCTGACTCCTGCTGACGCCTGCTGACTCCTGCTGACGCCTGCTGACTCCTGCTGACGCCTGCTGACGCCTGCTGACGCCTGCTGACGCCTGCTGACGCCTGCTGACGCCCGCTGACTCCCGCTGACTCCCGCTGACGCCCGCTGACGCCCGCTGACGCCCGCTGACTCCCGCTGACTCCCGCTGACGCCCGCTGACGCCCGCTGACGCCCGCTGACGCCCGCTGACTCCCGCTGACTCCCGCTGACTCCCGCTGACGCCCGCTGACGCCCGCTGACGCCCGCTGACGCCCGCTGACGCCCGCTGACGCCCGCTGACGCCCGCTGACTCCCGCTGACGCCCGCTGACGCCCGCTGACGCCCGCTGACGCCCGCTGACGCCCGCTGACTCCTGCTGACTCCTGCTGACTCCCGCTGACTCCTGCTGACTGCTGCTGACTCCTACTGGCTCTCTCAACTCCTCCCTTCTCTCCTCAGCTCCTCCTCCCCTTCGCTGACTCCTCCCCCCTGGATGTGGAGCTGAACCAGGACCTTCCGGAGTACCTCCCCGAGGAGGAGAGCCCGTCTCTGGACCCGCAGAGAGCCGTGACTCGGGGGGGCTCCGAGGAGGGCGGGGCCAGCTGGATCGGCGCCGCCTCCAACTTCCTGTCGCGCTCCTTCTACTGGTGACGTCACTTCCTGTTGCGAGGCTTTTACGAGTGACATCACTTCCTGTCACGTTCCTTATATGGTTACATCACTCGCTGTCAAGCCCCTCCCACTGGTGCCATCCTTTTCGGACTCACTCCTCCTTGTGGTGACATCACTTCCTGTCACAACCCATCTACTAGTGACATCACTTCCTGTCCGTGGACCCGAATGGCCTCCTTCATTCACACATTTCTACAGAATTGGGGACCGACCAATTTATTGCTTATTCATTCATTCATTCTCATCTTTTCATTATGAATCAAATTCTGGGTGGGGGGGGCAAGATGGCTACTATGATTTCTCTGAGATGTATGTATGAATCCTCTATTTATACAAAGACTATATTTATTTATTTATTTTGATATTTATTTATTTATTGTCCAAAACAGTGTCTTAAGTGAAGTTGTTGTTGTTTTTGATGAGGCCAAAACAGCAGAAGCCTGAGGACCGAGAACATGTGGTCTACGGGCCGCAGCCAGCTCCCAGGCCATAGTTTGGACCAAAGTGCCTGGTGCAGAGGCCTGAGCTCCTCCTTTCGTGCTTCCAGCTGAAACTTGAGCCTCCTGAAACTTTTATGCCACAAAGACCTGAGTGTGTTCACTAAGCACCAGAGAAACCAGACTCCCTTCTTTTGATCCAATTTAATGATTAAGATCAGAAAAACCAGTTTGTTTGGTGAAACTGGATGGAACCATTCCTACTGTGATTAAGCTGCATTTAACCACAGAAACCGGATCCTACTGAGACCCAGGCAGAAGATGCATTTAAGAGCGCAGGGAGAAGCTGGGCTGAGATTTGGAGCAGACAGGCCACGCCCTCATTTTGATCATGTGATGAAGCTCACACACTCGGGTTTCATTGTTTTGGTTTGGTTTCTGTTCCTAACTCTGGTCTCTCTCTGGTCTCTCCTTGGTCTCTCCCTGGTCCCTTGCTGGTCTCTCTCTCTCTGGTCTCTCTGGTCTCTCCTTGGTCTCTCCCTGGTCCCTTGATGGTCTCTCTCTCTCTCTGGTCTCTCCTTGGTCTCTCCCTGGTCCCTTGCTGGTCTCTCTCTCTCTGGTCTCTCTGGTCTCTCCTTGGTCTCTCCCTGGTCCCTTGATGGTCTCTCTCTCTCTGGTCTCTCCTTGGTCTCTCCCTGGTCCCTTGCTGGTCTCTCTCTCTCTGGTCTCTCCTTGGTCTCTCCCTGGTCCCTTGATGGTCTCTCTCTCTCTGGTCTCTCCTTGGTCTCTCCCTGGTCCCTTGCTGGTCTCTCTCTCTCTGGTCTCTCTTCTGCTTTGTGAAAGTACCTTGTGACTGTGGCACAGTTTAAATAAATGAATCTGAAGCTTAAGATTAATACATGTTTGGACCTGTCATCTTCAGTGTTGAAACATCTGTGTGTGTATGCGCGCGTGTGTGTCTGTGTGTGTGTGTATGCGTGCTTGTTTGTCTGTGCGTGTGTGTCTGTATGCGCGTGTGTGTGTGTATGCGCGCGTGTTTGTCTGTGTGTGTGTGTGTGTGTATGCGTGCGTGTGTGCACTTGTTTTCAACTCCTGGTGGGTTCCATAACCTGAGATTCCACTCACGTCATGGGGACTGGTTTTACGTGGTGGGGCCCGAACACCGGACCCCACTGGTCCAAGCTTAATAATCAATGGGTAATGCTTTTCTAACGGTCCTTATGCAGTCTCTGTAAAAATATGGAAAGGACCCCTGGAGGTTTACTTTCCTGAAAAAAGTGTGTTATGTGTCGGAACCCTGGTGGTGGGTTGCGGGATATCAAGGAGGGGCACACTGGGGCAATTTCAGTCCAGCAGGCTGGAGCCAATCATGGAGCAGCACAACAGAGGAAATCAGGTGTCAGGCTAGAAAAGGTGCAAGTGTGTGGTTCATTAGGCTGCAAGAAATCATGGAGGAGCACACTGAAGCGCACGCTTACAAACCACTGGTAATTGCTGACTACAAGTCATGACTTCAAATTGTTATATAGAATGATTACAAATTATTTGTTGTTTGTGCAGCTTAGTCAAGAGTCCCTAATTGATGAAGTCGACTCAGATTCTGACGATTTAACTGTCAAGAAGAAACCTGTAAAAAAGTATGGAAAAAGAAAAATCAAAAACACTTTTCTTCAAGACTCGGAAAGTGACGAACCAAAGGCAAATAAGATTGTTATCATGCAGCTGCAAAAGAAGAAAAATGGGGGGCGAGTATACAGCAAGAGACACTTCTGCCTCTACTGTTCAATGTCCTGCCACAAAATGTCCCGTCATTTGACTAGAAAACATGGAAATGAAAGTGACGTAGCCAGAGCATTGGCTCTACCTGTGAAATCTAAAGCACGTAAACTTCAGTTTGATTTGATCAGGAATAGTGGAAACCGTGAGCACAATTTTGAGGTTTTAAAGGCCGGCATTGGAACTTTAGTCCCAGCTAAACAGCCAAATTCCCCAGTTAAATCCAGTGAGTTTTTGCACTGTATAGACTGTGGGGCATTGCTTAAGCGAAAGTCGCTGTGGAGGCATGTGGCCAGGTGCCGGCTTTCACAGAAAGATGCCCAGGCTAAACCAGGTAGAAGTAGGGTCCAGTCCCTCTGCTCCCTAGCCCAGCCTGTACCGGAGGGCATCAGCAAAAAGCTGTGGTCTTTAATTTCGGCAATGCATCAGGATGAGGTCACGGGTGTTGTCAAAGCAGAAAAGGGGATTCTGAGACTCGGAGAGCACCTGTACTTAAAACACGGGCATGATAAGACAAAGCATGATTACATTAGGCAGAAAATGAGAGAAGTCGGTAGGTTAATTAACGAAGCAAAAACCGCAGGGAAACTGAAAACAATTAAGGATTTCTTTATTCCTTCCAACTTTAACCATGTGATTGATGCAGTCAGGTCTGTGGCTGGATATGATGAGGAAACAAATCAATACAAGACTCCATCCTTGGCCCTCAAACTCGGCCATAGCCTCAGAAAGCTAGCAGATATTCTTGAATGTGACTCAAAAATGGAGCATTGTGTTGATGAACTATTTATTAAAAACCTCCAACGAAGCCGGCTGCTTTTTGAGAAGAGGTGGGACGTCTGTGTTTCTTCTGCTGCCCTACAGACCCTCCGGCAAGCCAAGTGGAACACTCCGGACCTGCTCCCTCTGACTGAGGACGTTAGAGCCATGCATGCACATATTGAGGTATGTCGACCTGAATATGTGCAAACCCTAATAAGTGAGCCAATGTCTAAGCATTGGTCTAAACTGGCAGTTTTGACTCTTTGTGAGGTCATTATTTTCAATCGAAGAAGGGAAGGTGAGGTTTCAAAGATGCCACTGACAGCCTTTACCTTAAGAAGTAAGACTGGGATCCATTCTGACATTGCTCTGGGACTGTCCCAACTTGAGAAAAAGCTGTGTCAGCATTTTCAACGCATTGAAATTAAAGGGAAAAGAAGTCGGAAAGTGCCGGTTCTTTTGACTCCTGAAATGATTGCTTCGATGGAGGTGCTGGTGGAGAACAGAAGGGCCTGTTCCATCTCTGACCATAACCCATACTTCTTTTCCCGCCCGGGCGCAGACACCCACATCAGGGGATCAGACTCCCTACGCCAGGTAGCCAAAGAATGTGGTGCGGTGCATCCAGAGATGCTATCCTCAACCAAACTTAGAAAGCACATAGCTACTATGTCTACAGTTCTCAATATGAAAGAGAATGAGATGGACATACTTGCCAACTTCCTCGGCCATGACATTCGCATCCACAGGCAATATTACAGACTACCAGAGGGGACACTGGAGCTGGCCAAAATCAGCAAAGTGTTGATGGCCATGGAGCAGGGAAGAGTGACGGAATTCGAAGGAAAGAGCCTCGACCAGATACAAATTGAGCCTGAAGGTAATTCTTGATATTATTAAAATATGTATGATTTTTTTCCCCTAAAGGCCACTTGTATTTTTATTTTCTGTGCGACAGGGAGAGCAGTAGAGATCCTCTCACAAACGGACGGGCTAAAAGAAACTTCAAGCGGAGAACCTTCAACCATTCATCCAGATGCACCCCATGGTAGTGGCAGTGCCCCTTCTGGTAAGTGTACCAGGTGGGGGATTACAGCCAGGCTGCTTGGTCCTCACCCTGGGAGTGTATATTGCTAATATATTTTTATTTCTCTCCCTAGAACGTGTAAGAAAGCCATGGTCTGCATCTGAGGTGAAGGCTGTGGAGAAGACCATGACACCTTTCATACAGACTGGAAAGGTCCCTGGGAAGTCTCACTGCCTGGCCTGCATTAATGCCTCACCAGATGACCTTAGACATCGGACATGGAGTGGCATTAAATTCTATGTCAAAAATAGAATCACTGCAATTCGAAAACAAAATCTAAAATAAAATTCCTTTAAAATAGTTGTTTGGTTTCTATTGACTGTTTTGTATTACTTAAAGTCTTGGTAAAAAAAGATTATGTCTATGGGTCCCATTCTGAACGGCCCTGTCAAAGGGACCCACCAGGTAACAAAAACGTGTATGTGTGTATGCGCGTGTTTGTCTGTGTGTGTATGCGTGCGTGTTTGTCTGTGTGTGTGTGTATGCGCGCGTGTGTGTACGTGTGCGCGTGTGTGTGACTATGTGTGAGTGTATAAACATGTACTTGTGAAAGATGCGGTGAACAGCTGTTAAGTGAAAACAAAATGATGCATTATTTAATAAAACTTCAAAAAAATGCGTCTTGCAAAAGTCTTCATTCCCGGAGTCAAAGGTCACTAAACAATATAGATTTTCACATTTTCCGATTTCTTTTTAGTGAAAATAGACAAACAAAAGTGATTTTACAAAAAACACTTTGTGAAGCGGCAACAAAATATGGGAACATACAAATAAATACACATAAAGAGACAACAAAACATTAACATACAGAAACACAACATGTAGGAGGTGTGTGTGTGTGTGTGTCAGAAAGGGTCATCAACGACTTCTAAATGTGTGTTTTATGAATAAAGAGATATTCCAACCTCCGCCTTCTT